CCCCACCCCACCCCCCACCCTCGGCTCTTCGCGAATAACTCGCGTAAAAAGCGGCCGATCGCGACGAAACTTTCAGCACCCTCGAATTGATCAATTTTACACTTACCCTGAAAATTTCATGACTCTGACCCAAATGACATTTGACCTGAGACCTTTTTTTTTGACCATGCTTGCCGGAATCGCGATTCGGCGTATGTCGACTCGTATTAGCCGCGCGTTTGCAGTCTTTTCGTAGTTTCAAGCGCTCAAACATGTGATTTGATGTTGCTCCCATGCATTAGGGTGGGTGTCAAGGTCACCTGAAGGTCAGGTTAGGTCACTGACCTTTGATGACCTCGGCTCACTATTTCGAGTTTTACATGTTTCTAGGCCAGTTTTGGAGCTGAATTCGAATTTAACAACCATTTAAACTATTATGAAGGAGTTCTGGTGCCTTTGTAACATGTCACGAAGCTGTCAGAGGCGGTTGACACGTACTTACTACGAATACCCGGCAGGACCCCTACTGGTTGACTTGAGCTAACCCGACCCGACCTGGCCTAAATGCATAAGACATCATCTGCGATCAAAACTAACATGATATTCGTGATCAGCACCCCGAAAAAACCCATAGCAGACACACTTTGCGACGTTCTGACAGTTGCCATTTTTTCCGACTTTTGGGTCATTAACCTGACCTGGAAGGTCAACCGATGACCTAGGACCTTAAAATTGGCTATCATCGGCTTTCTCTCGTCACGGGTAGCACGCTTTTTTTCCGCGAAGCTCTAGCTCGATCAGGGGCCAAACGCGAGGGGGGTCATACCCCCCTTGTGCCGTCGAAGGACGCAAAATGGCCTGTGCCGGCGAGGGTTGCTATTTATGACTGGCTGCATATGTTTGGAAAATCAATGGGCTAATATCTTTTCAAATAGTGCGCGAATGAGGGGTTGAACCAAGGTTGAACTATCCCTTCCCTAAGGCGGGCATGCCCCAGCACTACATATATTTGCTATACCGGGTGGCCCAGAAAAACGTTCCCAACTTCTACCCGCGCCCCGTTGGGGTCTGCCGAGCAACGCGCGCTGCTGGGGGGGGACAATTTGGCCCCCCTAAGATCTCGAGAACCACGCGACATAGCGACAAGTGACAAACAGTGTTGGATAGCCCCAACAGGGAACTACCTTGTGACCCAATTTCATTGACATAGGTCAAACCGATGACGTCACAGGTCAGGTCAAATGTCGAATTTTCACCGTTTACAGGCATTTCAAGAAATGCGTTGTAAATCGAGCAAAATGCATTTCATTGAAAATTATCAACACATATAATGCTATTTGAGGTCACTGTTACCAGGTCAGGTCACAGAGGTCAGGTCACTGAGAGCCACAATATGAAAATATCATGTGATGCATGTTTTATGCTCCATTTTATACGCCAAATGTGATTATGTGGGTCAGGCAGCCTTTGGAGTCAGTTATAAATATGTTCTGGTGAAGGCCAGGTCAAGGTCAGGTCAAGGTCAGGTCAAATTAGGTCAAATTCCAAAGTTGATATTTTTGCATAAAATGGGTATTGATTCGATGCAGATCGTCACGAGGAGTTCAATTGTGGTCTTTGTTTTGCGCTACGTGGTCTAGTATTGCTAAAATTTGAGTTTAAAAATATGACGTCATCAATTTTGAATTGTTTTTTGCTATAACTTGGCCAAAAAAGATATATCGATCTCAAAATTGGTATGTATATAGCAGAGCACAGGAACTATCACATTTATTCCAATTTTTTGACAATCTGAAAAATTTTAGGATTTTTTTGTGCTTTCTAAAAAATCATTTTTTTTACTTTTTGGGGGTAAAAATCCCAAAACTTTGAAAAACCGAGATGATAGTTTTGTAGTGCCGCATTTTGTTTACATGACCATATAAAGGACTTTGAAATTGTTTGGTAACTGTAGCTTTTGTATGCGTTTCAAGATTTCGTGTTTTTTTGCTCATTTTCGCTCGAACATGACCTCAGTTTGACCTCAATAGCTCCTGACCTAAGGTGACCTAAGACTTGAAATTTTGTGTGAAGGTGTCAAATTGATGCCCAGGAAGGTACTGAAAATTTGGCGGCGCTTCTTGCTATTCAGGAAAAACCACAGGCGGGGGGGGGGGCAAATTGGCCCTCCAGCGGGGCGAAGGTTAACCCTCGCCGGCACAGGCCATTTTGAGTCCTTCGACGGCACAAGGGGGGGGGGGGTTGGTACGACCCCCCCTCGCGTTTGGCCCTGATCGAGCTTGAGCTTCGCGGAAAAAACGAGCGTGTTGCCCGTCACGAGAGGAAGCCGATGATACCCAATTTTAAGGTCCTAGGTCATCGGGTGACCTTCCAGGTCAGGTCAATGACCCGAAAACCGGGAAAATCGGGACCTGTTAGAAAGTCGTAAAGTGTGGCTGCTATGTGGTTTTCCGGGGTGCTGATCACGAATATCGTGTTAGTTTTGATCATAGATGATGTCTTTAAGCATTTAGACCAGGTCGGGTCAGGTCAGGTCAGGTCAACCGGTAGGGGTTGTGACGGGTATTCGTAATACGTGTCAACCGCCTCGGACAGCTTCGTAACATGTTACGAAGGCACCAAAACTACTTCGTAAATGTTCAAATGGATGCTAAATTCGAATTCAGCTCCAAAAACTAGCCTAGAAACATGTTAAACTCGAAAAAGTGAACCGAGGTCACCCGAGGTCACCAAAGGTCAATGACCTGACCTGACCTTCAGGTGACCTTGACACCCACCCTAATGCATGGGAGCAACATCAAATCACATGTTTGAACGTTTGAAACCACGAAAAGCTTGCAAACGCGCGGCTAATGCGAGCCGACATGCGCCGAACCGCGATTTCGGCCAAACATGGTCACAGAAAAGAGGTCACAGGTCAAAGGTCATTAGGGTCAGGGTCATGAAATTTTCAGGGTAGGTGTATAATTGATCAATGCGAGGGTACTGAAAGTTTCGTTGCGATCGGCCGCTTTTTACGCGAGTTATTCGCGAAAAACCTTAGGGGGGGTTGCATCGCCCCCTGTGCCGGCGAGGGTTAAAGGGACTATCCCACCTTCAACATGGGGTTTGAGTTGAGATAGCCAAGTTTGCGGCGAGGTTCAGAAACCACTATCTATCTAGGTTGCAACCCCCGCGGCCTCTTGGTGTTGAAGAAATTCGTTCCCTTCATTTGAAAATGGGCCTTGTGCAAGGCCCCATCTTCAACATGGAGCGACCGTTAGTGTGACGTCACCTCGTTTAGTCGTTCTGGTTTAAATGGGTTTGTTCGTTGAAAAATCGCTTAAAACTTGGTCAGAACTTTGTTGTGGTGCCTACAGAGTAAAAAGAATCAGCTTTATGATAGCAATGTGGCCTGGGGAAGGAGGTAATTTTGGGCTGTGACGTCACATATTTGAAAGTTTGTGTTTGGAATATGGGAAGCCTAAGATGTTTAATGAAAATAAATGCCAGAACCGTGTTCCTGGTCATCCAATCTATAAAGTCGGGCACAATTGAACTGGTTTTAACAACATTTTAGAAGGTGGGATAGTCCCTTTAAATTAATAGTTCTCAGAAAGTAATAAAGATGCAACATTGAAACTTCGAATACACATATTTTCAGTAAATGGTGTGATTTTCGTGCTATTAGGTAAATTACTTTTTGAACGGTTCGTGTTTCAAGCATGTTATGTAAAAATTACTTTTTCGCTCAGATGTTTACTAAAAATGTGAGTGAACGGGCCACTTTCATCCCGGCACCACGGCCTATACCTACAGCCCTGACTGCTACTGGCAGCTAGTCTCATCGATGGTGCGGGCCTCGGGATGACACATTCCCTCAGGCAACCACGATGGCTCTGTGCCAGCGGCAACTTTATCGGAAGAAGTTTCCGGTGTTCTAACCATCTTGTGGCTCAAATGCTTTCCTGGCTGGCATTCCTGGGAAAAGGTGGTCAACCGGTTTATTTTTTTGTCATCTGCTAGCAATGTTGTTTTTCATAAGTTATTCTGTGGTCTTCTAGCACAGGAACGAGTCTGCTTTGGTTTCTTTTCCTTATCCGGTCGATTTACTGTTTGATCTACTGAAAGGAGGGTAATCGGCAGTAACTAGCCCATGCACCATGCCACTCCTGCTCAGTGCTCGAAACATGATTTGATGTCGAAACGAATGGCATCCATGAGTACCATTCTGGCTCAGTATTTGAATATTTGGCACATAAGTGAGACAATGTTTTTTTAAAACAACAACACACGAGTTGGTTTCATTCACGTGCTCTATTTTTCCTTTTTTTCTAACATGGGACGTCTAACCCAATCATGACTATCGTTAAACATCGGCAAAAAAGCAAAAACGTCTTGCTTAATTCAACATAAGATTGCCAGCTTGAAAATGAAGATATAGTGTAATAATTTGGCATACCAATGCGCAAAGAAATGATGCAGACTTGATTAAGATTTTGGCTCGTTATTTGTATTGAAATTTGAGATATAGGCCTCTAAAGTTCGGAACGTTTTTTTTTTTTGCCACTCGGTATAGTCCTACCGGGCGCGTATACATTTGTATGTTCCGTCGTACTTAAAATGTGTTGCATTTGCTAGTCAATAGTTCAGAGCAAATAGAAATGACACAATGATTATCCATTGTTTTCATATCATTACGTATTATATTAGGTAATGTATTTGGCTAAATAATTATTCTTAATTGTTTTACTCCAAAAAGTGTCAATGACAATACAAACTATAAATCTTGACACATAAAATGTTCTGCCTCGAATTTTACACGCTAATTTTGGACGCATTTTCTTGGTCTTTGCTTATTGTTGCTCTTTTCTTTGCTCTTTTTTGTTAAATTATTACCTTTTAAAGCTGAGCAGTTAAAATAAATGGACATAAATAAATTCTGCATGTCACTTATCCAAAATGAAATGAAGGGAATGTTCCCACAAGCAGGAGTATTCTTAGCTTGATACCGAACCAACCAAGACACTAAATACAAGCACTGTTTTTCAGGGAAGTATTTATTGGAGGTGAACACAGAACATGTAACAGATTGTGAACACAAAACATTGACAAACAAGATGAAGTGATGTCGATGGGACTGATAACGTCACATAACAAGGACGAAGGACAATGACACATTAGACGGAGAGGGACAAAGAAACATGAGAGATGCTTTTTGTAAAAATCTACACCAAAGGAGCCTTCGGGATGTGGTCTCCCTCGGCGAAGAAGCCGTTCTCGTCGGCCTGCCAGGTGACGGTGTAGGTGACGCCCTCCCACTCGTAGCTGTAGCTGCCCGTCCTCACGTAGTTGCCCGTCTCCGGCTCATTGCCAGGGTAGGAGATACCGTCTTCAGATGCCCGAATGCCGTTGGAAGTTTCGTATCTGTGGGAGAGTGAATGTGTTTGTGGTTTTGTGTGCAATTCAGTGGGCGATTTACCTAAAGATGCTTGACATTTACAAGATACCAGATAGGCATCTGGTATAATCAGAGACATTGAAATAACTACCAACTAAGCTTGCTCCTATGTCATTTAACAGTAAGCTCGAATGTTTTTTTTTTCGGTAGGTATGTGATTCCCGCTATTTTCTATGGATATTTTCTTGGAGCATTGGCTTGGCCTTATATCACTTGTTCGAGATTATCAAAAAAAGAAAAAAAAACATGCCAGGGGCAGTTAATGCAATCCTGGATGCAAGATAAAGTTGTTTATAATGTTGTCACATTCTACACTGCCGCTGGTGCCTGCTGTACTTACGTGGAGTCGTACGATCCATCCTCGTTGATCTGATACTGCTGGTTGACAATCCTCGCCTCCTTGTCCGACTGGGCACAGGCCACAGCCGCCAGACAGAGAACGATCACCTGAGAGAGGGCAGACACAGGTCAAACGGAAAAGCATTAAATATCAAAGTCTTGACACAGAAAGCTTATATTGCAACGTATCTGCAAATTATCCTAAGGTTTATGAGTTTTCCGGTAGCAAGCACGACAAATAGCTTTACCTATGCCTAAAATTCCGTGCTATAGTATAAGGCTTATCTAACGACTGTGTTCAGTGACAGAACCAAATAACTTGGTGTGCTTTTCCAAATATGATTGGACAGGTAACGAATACCTTCTTGCTTTTTTAATGTCCTTTCTCGATGAAAGATATTGCTTCCTCTGTACTTATCTATAAAAAGTAAGAAGCTTAGCAGTACTAACAGTTCACAGGCTGTTAAACCAAATGCATAACCAAATGTTTGTGTTCAATAGTTAAAACACTCCTCGCTAGTAATTCTCTATTGAAAAAAATCTAAGTTCCCTGACAGTTTCGCAAAAGGAGATCAGTAACGGATATTTTGTTACAACAATCGATTCGATTAAAGTTATTAGTCAATTAAATGCTTTGTCGACTTTCTACACTGAATTTATCGAAAATAAAATATAATAACATTTATGAAAAACGATGGCATCGGCACGGCTTCCGGTACTTATCCACGAGCTCCAGATCAAGTCCCGCGGGCACTGCTCACCAGCTTCATGTTGAGTGAGACGAGCTGTCAATAGCTGCGATCCGGTGGTCACTTCCAGGCCAAGTGATGCTCTTCCAGGGCGAACCGTTCGCTTTTATACCAGTGGGATTCATCTCTAGCCGGCGGCTGTGGCGGGGCGCGTGCCCGACCTTGGTGTTTTAGAGCAGCGCTGCCGCTCGGCGGGCGGATGGACGGACGCGTCTGTCACCTGTCGATCTGGGGGGCGATCGCCGCGCCGCGCCGAGCGCCCGGTCTACGATTGCACAGGACTGTCCGGTGATGCGCCCGCGACACAGGGCGTAACGCCTAGTTACCCTGCAGTAGAGACGCCTGTGTAATACCTGCATACATATGCATCAGTAGATAACGCTGCGAAAGTAAAACTACGGTGATTTGGTAAGTCCCTGAGTTATTTTGGCTTGATGAATAGGCGCTAATTGATACTTCATTATTGCCAAATGTACAGCAGAATAACATATCGTGTATATTTTCAACTTCTAACTGACTGTCTAACAAATGAGAATAAATGTGGAAATTTAGAATGAACAGAAAACAACGCACAACCTGCTAACGTATACCTATTGTTAAGAATGAGATATTATTTTTTTAAGTGGAACGAAGTTCCTTGTTGAAGCAAGCCTTTTATATAGGAACCAAATAAGCAAAATGTATGATAAAGCTGAGAAAACTTATGCTGTTTGAGATGCGCGGCTTTACAGATCAGTACTATTCGAATCGACGAATATTAAATGTCAACCCTTTTAAAATTATTTTTCAGCTACCTACTAATCAAGTGAGTGATGTGCTCCCATAAAATTGTGAGCATATGCCTAATAAAAGCGTCAACTTAAAACGATGACAAATTAAAAGTCTGAGTGATTATCGACATATGACGCATCATAGACCTCTGCACACCTGACCTCCTCATAGACCGCTGTAACCGCAGGTTGTTTGAAATAGACAAACACTATTCGTTAGAATTGTGTTTTCTATTGAATACTGGTGCACAGAGGTCTATGGACGCATGCAATCCATTTGTCTGTTTTGGTAAAGGCCGTTCGCAGCAGGCTTTCAAAATCAATGCGGAGCGGATCCCCAGCTAACGGTAGACCCTTCCTTCGTTTTCGATCGCCGTGCTCCTGCAAGGCTGAGTCCATTATGCGATTATGTGCAGGTAATCGGCTTCTGGACTGTAAAACGGTCCGTTTGTTCGGCATCGTACAATAGGCTGCCTGTTGACCCAGGTCACATAAGGAGATAATGCACATAAGCGGCAGTGTTTTGCCATTCCAAGCAGTAACATCACATTGAGAAATGCGGTTCGCTTATTTTTCGATTGTTAATCTCTAAACAGAATTCGTAGTTGTGCTGTTGCCTTAACGGGGAGGAATAGCAGAATATTTTCTGGTCTTTAACTGAACTCTTTTCTCGAAAATGACTGTTACAATATGTAGAATGTGTTAGGCATTATGAGCCTCATTGTCACTTAGGGCAATATACATTGTGTCATATTTTCCTGCATACTCGTATTTCCATATGCCTTACTGTGTGTATGACATACTGATAGTCCTACTTTGGCCGCGAGAGAAGCATACGATGCAATTTTATCTCTTTAACGGGAAAATGATCTCATCATCGTACTGATGACTATAGTGCTATTAGCCATCAAAAGGTATAATTCATTTATCACCCCCTCAGTGCATGAAACCCTCGGTAGCATTGTCGACATTAGTTCCATAAAAATGCAGGTATTTACCTAGAGTTTATTTACATATCACTTGAACATGCAATGCTAATTTACATGAGACATTAAATCAATCAGGCAAAGATGCAGGAATTAAACGGCGATTGAATTCATGAGTGGACTTATCTTTAAAACGTCCTACGTGCGTCATCACTGCGCTCTTTGTTGGATAAAGGGCAATGGCATTCTATGGGAGCCAACGATATTCAGATAGATTCAATTGGTAGGTATTAGATAATGGCTGAAGATAAGCCAGAAAACTTATTAGTGCAGCCATCTTGATTGGTATGTATGCTGTTTAAGCTTCATCATTACCGTCTATATTGATCCACAGCCAAGTCATTTTGAGATGACTAAAGATACCATCGGTTTGCATTACAAAATCCATCAACTAAAAAACCGCCGACCCCAGCCTAACCGGCTTAGCCCCCCCCCCTCCCCCAGCACTCCTACCCACCTATCCCCCCTCTGAGGGGGTCTGCTGTCCCCCGACGCTGCAGGGGCTCATACTGACCGACTTCCAGCCCCATATCTGATGACACCAGCCGCGACGACGGGCCAAGCCGGGACGTCTGTCCGCCCCAGGCCCGCTGATAGGACACATTTGCATGGTGCAGCTTCACTAGACAGCGTCAGACCCCGACGGGTCATGTATACATGCATGCACGAGCGTACATACATGTGCACGAGGTCTCGTGGTGTTCCAGTGGCACATGTGTGCGATAGGACCAAGGACAGTTGCGGGTGGGGCTTTACGCTTGGCAGTTCGACTTATCTTACGCTCTAAGTCGCAGCCTATGATCTTGCTTAAAAATATAGCTACAAGTATAGACTAGAGATGAAAGGGAAACGTTCCTAGCCATTTGAAAAGAATATCGGGTGCTTCAGTAAGTTACCGTCTACCGATGTTTATATTGAAAGTATAATATTCACTAACAACCAAAAGCAGGATCGATCATTTAGCTGACGTCAGCATATCTTCATCAGCAAAGCAAAATTGACTGATGTGAAAAGAACAGGAGCATATAGATAAGAAACGACCACCTCACGATGATAAAATGGGCTCATGCAGTCATGCATGTAGAAACGATCAGTAGACGTCAAAGGTAAAGACAAACCTGCTGTGATCAACTCGTGTGTAATGCACAATTCAATGTCATATGTGTCGGTAATATAAATAAAAAGCTGATCATGTATCCTGCGATGTACATTAACGTTAAAAAACAATGCATTCAATGGAAGCGCTTATGGCCGAGTGACAGCAACGGGTCACACAACAGTAGCACCAAGTATGCGCAGGACTGCAGCGACGCACACCACACTAACACCGGGCCTGGAAACTGCTGTGTGCTACATTGAACAGATGACTGGAGAAAGAATTCATCTAAAATAAAACGGCGTAGGAGGACGGAGAGAGCATTGAAGAGATGTTAGGACGGCCACAAGGACGATCTTGTGGAAACGGAGCAGCCTTACAAAACGACTCGAAATAAATGCCTGTCGTGTCTTCAATGGCTTACCTACATTATACGTGCACAAAAGTATTTCCTTTCACATCGATGGTCAATGGTGTTCGTGCTTTCATTAGAATATTATATCTTATGAACTTTCAGCATTTAGAACACAATTTGTAACACACACAAGCTTGCGTCTGCACGATACTATTTCAAACAACCTGCGGCTACCTATAATTTTTTTAAGAGCGCTGAAATGCGTGCGAGGTATTCTCCATTATTATATCTTGGCTAAACATTTAAACAATTCAAAGTTCAAGTCGACGTTCACACCCGATCCGAAGTATAGTTCGTTTTTTTCAAAAGGACTCTGGCTCGAAGTACGTTTTTCGAAAAAGCACGCGTTTTAGCGAGCAAAACGAGCAAAAACTGAACCTGAGAAACTCGAACGTCGCCTTATTTTAACATGTGAAGTATTCCCAATAATTTCCATACGTGCATTTTGGAACCAGATATGAGAACAGTGGTGACGTAATGCTGTCGAACTTGTATTGCAATGTAACGTATAACTATCATGGACGAAACCGCTTACTCGATTATAGCCTCGGCAACAGTGAAAAACGAAGTTTCCCCCAAGTTCGTCGAAACTCTGTCCCATCGCACGGACATTGGGTGCCTGCTGCCACCAGTGACGTCATCATGGTATGCTAATTTTTCAAGACACAATTTCCGGGTACTTACCGTGCATAATTTGAAATCGAATATTTTTTGGGTAAGAAATTCTTGGCCAGACGCTGAAGCTGCCAAAACTCACGTGAGAGCTTCGATAAGGAACTTGGAGCCAGCGCCCTTTTGAAAAAAAAAACGAACTATAGTAACATCTATGTACAGGATCAGGAACAAAAAAGAAATAATCTCTTCATGCAGTCTTCTTGCCCGGAATCTCGACTAATCCAGCGACCTCGATGTTGAGCACAGAAGCAATGAGTACCGATTACTTTCAAAATTTCAGAGTTAAATGATGCATGCCGACGGTCAGATCCTATTTTATCGCCTGCGTGCTCTGCACGCCTACTGACCAGCAGAAGCAGAATCTGTCGCGCTCAATCAATCTGCTCGCGTTCCCGATCGGCGAATTTACAGTGCAGGCTCGCGTTCCAGCTACCAGAGTAGTCACCGGCGCTGACATCGAGGCAGTGACATACCAAGCTGCTCAAGAGATCAGTGTGAATTGACCGAATTTTTGCCGATCCGCTCATCTGTCTCTCTGTCTCGTTCTCGCTCTCTCCCTCCCCCTCTCTCTTTCTTTCTTTCTTTCTCTCTCTCTCTCTCTCTCTCTCTCTCTCTCTCTCTCTCTCTCTCTCTCTCTCTCTCTCTCTCTCTCTCTCTCTCTCTCTCCGAGTTTGAACTGTTGCGCTTACTAAGGCCAAGGTCAGGCAGCGGATCTAGCCGGACATCACGTAAGAATACAATTCTCTCAGCTCGAGCAGGAATTCGTTTTGGCTTCCTCCCCGATAGCCGACCCACACAGGAATTCAGTGTGAGCTACCTGTTAGATAGGCAGCTCAAACATACAAAGATGGATTGTCTGTAAATACCTACAGTCAGGTGAGCGCTTTCATGTCGTTTCCTTCAGTAGGTATTTGAAACTTTGATTTATCTTAATGATATCTGCTGCTCGTACATTGTCGGAGTAATAATTACAATGCCAAAAAGAATGTAGGAAAATGTACTCGTAGGTATATGAAACATACCCGGACAGATATCCCACCCAATACCAATGGCATATTAGAAAGATTAACTACAATAATGGCCTTCAAACCATGCGAGCGATCCAGAACAAGAGTGATAACTTAGGTAAAACACAGGAGCAATGATGGCCTGCTCAACAATAACGTCCGAGAATGGTCACGTAACCGACATCTCACTGCCGTCTGGCGCGGGTTCAGGTACGCCGCCAGCTGACCTTGAACGTTTCGTAGCAGAGTCAATGAATACAGTGCTGTAGCCCAACGCGAAGCTGGTCAGTGAAGTTAAAACCAAGGAAAATGTATAGTGACTCGCAGGCCACTCACGCGTATGTTCGGTTCGGACGTTAGTTCAAGTCGTTGCGATTTTATTCAGAACTGCGCAATGGCAATGAATAATTGATTTACCAGAACACAGCGCACTACATCTATGTCGATCCGTTCTTCTAGAGAGTAACGCAGACCTGCTCCTGTTCTCGTCTTTCCAACGAGGACTTGTCCTCCCGCCCAAGGTCCTCGTCCTCGCGAGCACGATCGAAGGACTTGATCGCTGGCCGACCGTCGCCCGTCGGGTGTTGGGATGAGGTCCTTCTTTGTAAGTACCCCTCGGTCAGCTATAAACTGTGACATGGCCCCTGAGCCAGACCCCATGCAGTGCTGCAGGGCCTCACAAGATGTGCCTAAGACGGTGTCCGGTGTCGCCGGCATGGATTTGCACAGAGCCGTTGGACCACCACCACCAGCTTTACACAAATTCAGGACGACGCTGACTGTCTCCGAGCATTTGTCGGACTGCCTTACTTCCAAACCTGCCTGTCCTGCACCCGCCCTGCAAGTCTACCTGGCCACCGATCTGCCTATCAACTCATCAGTCTGTAGTGTTCCACCCCCACCGTACCCATATCAGCCCCGTCTGGCCAGCACAGGCTGCATTCAACCCTCCCCGTCCCGTCCGACGGGCCCAGTGGCAGGCGCCTCCAGCGCGTGACTTATGGCGACTCCAGCCTCATGCATGCAGCAGCCTTGAATGAAAAACGCCAGCGTGGCGGCCATCGTCTCCGAGTGGCGACAATGGTCTGTCGGCGACTCATCGGCCGGTGCCCCGGGCCACTCTGGAGGCCGCCCGGCCGTGGCACGCAGCTCTCCTCCATCGTACGACGGGAGGGGGATCGTTCAGAGACAAACAAACCAGCGCGCCCCGGGCCGGCGTTTCATGATCACCGGGTTGGCAATGCACTAACGTAGACGAGTGCCGAGGCAGGCAGAGCGACCGTGACGTGAATTAGCTCACAGATGATTGGACAGAGACGTCACAAAAAGACGGCATCTGCAATGTGTCCATTGCGGGATTATCATACCTTCGGCGTACGATCGTTTTTCATAAGTGATCATAAGGTAGGAATCTATTGTTCACATACCGACGGCTGATCAAAATGACTCCTAAGATATGGTGAATTAAAAATTATCATTCATGCAGCCGTTACAATATGCCATGCCAGGCAAACATCTGGGTAATAAAATCGGATAACAATAATACTCCGCTGGACTTAATAATTTCGCGGTGATTGGGGGCTAATTCTTGCGTGCTGCTGCCATTTGCTCTCAGTTTACTATTTTCAGAATCACGCATAACACATTCCAACCCAGATCCCAGTTCTTCTAACACCCTATCTCTATTTCACATTCAGCGAGCGATCACAAGCTCGAAAGTCAACCACAAGCATTCCAACATAAGAACCCTTCTTGCAGTTCGCTCTCCGCTTCGGGCGAAGTGAGCGATTGGCTCGTCCCGAAATGGATCGACCTGCCACATGACACGGAAAACAGAGGTGCAAAACACACAGAGGTGTCAGTTCTGGAGAGTGAGATGTTCGGACGGCCATCGTGAAGGGCCAAGGTCACACGACAGCGACGCGCAAAGAAAGACCTCCAGTCGATACGATACACTATGAACGATAGAAATGCATTTAACGGACGAACTTGGTACCTTTTAGGAGAGGAAGCGCTCGAATAATTCCGTGAAAAAGAAACCGTTTGTTGCGTAATCAATGCTCCATATCAACCAGATGTCGGCAACAGAGAAGACTGATGTGCTGAGCCTGAGGAAGAGCTGTGAATAGCGCCACCGATTGCCGATGGGGCAGGATGTGGAACCAGTTTCCAGAGGCCAGACAGTCTGGCCTTCAGGGTAACATTAGAGGCGGTCCATTCACCTGACGGGTGAAAAGGGCGAAAGGTCGCCGCAAAATGAGTTCCAATCACCTGCCAATGAGGGAATGAGTTTGCCGCTAGGACATGCAGCACTATCAATTATGAGCATGAGCAGCTATGTAACAAAATATGGGTTTACGTCACTTTACCTAACAGCATAGGGCTTGCCAAAACAAGGAGTCATAAGTGCCAAGCGTATGTTGTTGTTGGGTTAGGACGCGCAGCTGTTGAGACCCAGGCGTCTAACATACCCAGCGTAAGTGTTTGAGCATCCGCCGAAGAAGAACTCATTCGTCACAGGTGTTGACATGGTGACAAATGTTTCACGATGCCAATCATCTGACCACTTCTTGTCGCGTTTGTTCCATCCAAAACAACAAACAAACACATGATCGTGTACGCACCAGGCGTCTCAGCTCCCCTGCGTCAGACTTCGGCGCTCAGTCAGACCACAGCATGAACTCTGCATGACAATCAGCCGCGGCGCCGGCCGCACTCGCCGTGTGCGCCCCGCCGGAGGCATCCCGGCTGTCCCGTAAATCTGTCGGCACCGTGTCTGTTCAGTCAGCTTTGACGGCGCCGTCCGCGAGCTGCTGACGATGGTTCTTTGAGAGCGACAAACGGGAACAAACAGTCGGCGCAGGCGACCAGCGACGCTCTGGCAGGAGACAGGAACGCACGGATTGACGGCACAGTGGCGGGCGATATGTGGCGACTGCCGACTGCCGAGGTCTCCGTGTGGCTTCCGAGACACATTGCGATGACTAATGGAGGGCTGCGAACACAAATTGCAGGTAACACACTGAAACGTGATTGACACAAGAGCATCGTCCGAGTTTTATGCAGTAAAACGTCTCGCGAAACCTCCGAATCAAGTAACGTAACCCCATCTATTTGCATTGATCGAGGTCGATATCAAAAGCAATATTGGTTTAGCTGATTGAACCTTCAACGGCGCTGACGACAGAGCCACAACACAATCAGCGACGCTCAGGGAATCATGAGCGTTCAGTCACGCTAAGCCTCGCCGCAGAGTCGGCTTCTTCAATGAATGGACGTGACTTGCAGGTGTGAAATACCACGCCGGAGACGGATGGATATGCATACTGACGGCGACCTTTGCAGTTTACCGTTAGCATGTCTCAGCCGATCGGGCCCGCGGCAAGGCTGTTCGACTGGTGTCGGAAGACGGTGGGAGGAGAGCATGACAGTGCATGTATCCCATTCCCGGCTAGTGATGGACCGAGGCCGAGGGCTGAAGAGCCAAACGCGGCTGAAGAAGCCATGAAAAACGAGTCACGCACGAGCGAGTTTTTCGGCCGTCGCGATTCAAAGCACTTGAGAGGTAAAGTGCGGTATCAAGTACTACACTTGGCTGCAGTCCAGAGTAGCGGTGGACGCGACAAGGAAGCTGCAAGTTGCGGTTCCTTTTCAAATTGTGACACATTGCTATGGAACGTATTACTGTTGACATTCAACATATCACCGATATCGCCGAGCCTACTGGCCGGACAGAATCAGGATGCATGGTCGTGAGTACCTACCAGTAGCCATACTGTGCCGTTAACGTTATACTAAGAGTCACCGTGATACTAAGTAGCGATTTCTACGGTACTTAAAAAAATAAGAGGAATACGACAGGAATCTAAACGTTTTGAAGTGAAAAAAAAACATTCAAATAAAACGATACAAAATGTATTAAAAACAGTAAAATACAGTGCCAACTTGGTGACTGTAAAACACATTGACCAATGAACATGCACCCATGACAAAATACACGTAAAAATCACACAATACATTTAAAAACACTTTCGCCCGGAGCCTGTTGAAGATGTTAAAAATCATGGAGCTGTTGAAATTTCATTGATCATTTACAGTTCATCAATTGCGAAGCTCAGGGATTATTCAGGATGGGTAGCGCTAAGATGAAACCAGAATACATGCATTAAAATTTAACTGTTTGAGCTGGCATCAGCCCGCATTCGTTGGCTTCCGGCATAAGTAAAACGATCGATTACCAAAACTTTAAAACATCGAAGTAACATCAAAGATTTCGAAAATTCGTCATTCCCTCTTCCCCCAAACACGCAAGTTCCAATGAAATTTCAGACATGAACATCGGAAGAGAATCCATCCGCTAGCGGCCAAATGTGACACCAAGAGCACTTCTCCCAGTCCATCTAATACACAGCACCACGTCGGTTCCACTCAGCAGTCGACGCCCACCCTTCCATCAGCACTGGATCCGGGCCTGGATCCGTCGTCGGACCCCACCATCCCCTCCGCACTGGACCCGGGTCTGGACCCATCGTCCGACCCCACCACTCCCTCTGCGCTGGAACCGGGCCTGGAATCTCCGGCCCCCTCAGCCGCACCTCCCCTGTTTGCTGCGCTGGAGCCGGGCCTGCTGCCACCCTCCGCCACAGCTCTATCATCGTCTGTCGCCTTCCCAGACTTTACCAGCGACTGGAGAATCTCCCGGCCGATAGCGGCGGCCATCGGAGGCGGCACGGCGTTTCCGATCTGAAACGACGGATAGAGACGGTCAGTTCTAACGTTAGGAGAGAGGATGTGTGGTTTTTCCACGCATGATCACGGTAGTGGGGAGCGAGGTGGTAGTCCTGATAGGAATTGTGGTCATTGGTTTCAAGGCAAATGGGTGACTGCTGCAAGATATAACGGTAAACCGCCGAACGAGCTCAGATACGGTTGAATAGATGTGGGATAGCTTTGCAACAAATGCCAGATGCCAGGGATACGCTAGTCGGTAGAGAATAACAAAGAAAAACGTCATATCCAGACTCCATTGTCGCAAGCCATCTCACCACTCAGAGGCACTGCAACCATATCTATACGCGCCGCCCCATGCAGATGAGACCAGCGAATTGCATACACTTCCATTGAAGTCCGTCCCATCGCTCAGCATGGCATTGCAAGGCCCCGGCAGAAGGGACGGGGGGGGGGGGCAGCCCCAAGGTCAGCCACTGGTCCCCTCACCAGTGACGTGTTCTAGTGTGTGTGTGCAGGGGGGGGGGGGCAGGGGACCACTCACCTGACGGTGCTTCTCTAGGGTGGTACCGAAGAAGCGGTAAGAGTCGGGGAAGCCCTGTGAACGGGCGCACTCGCGCACACTAACCACTCGGTGCTGCTCCGGGTGCAGTACGCGACCCTGCCGGCCGGGGTCAGAGGTCAGCGCCGAGGTCACGTGACCCGAGGTCAACCGGCGACACCGCGACTAAATGAAGGCGGCGACAGGCCGCAGTCGGACAGACGTTCTCAGAACGAGCGCCGTCACCGCGCCCCCAACGCACGGCCGAGCCATAAATTAGACGGACGGACGCAGGTGCGGAGTCGGGCCGCAGGCGACTCCGGACGCGCCGACAGACGCGTTCTCAGACACATCAAGACACGTCAGCGCCAGAGAGGAGTGCCCAGAGACAGTGTTAAAATTCGGACACTGGCGCTGCTGAACTGAGTTGGATATCGCTTACGGCAGTAATGAGCTTATTCACGTAAACCTTAGAAGAATGAGCCTAATGCACCTTAAAATTATTGCGAGCAAAAACATATTGGAATAGCAATTTGAAATAAATATATAAAAACTTATAAGTTAGGTATGAACCGTGAAGATAAGTTGAAAATGCTACTGAGATCAGTTTTAACAACAAGAAAAATCGCCGGCTGCCTGATTTTTTTCCTTATGTCGCCCCCGAATTTCAGCATCCAGACGAAAAACAAAATATCGATGTGAATCATAATAACATCAGCCGGCCTCACTGATATGTTTTCACGTCAGCGGTTATTTTTTATTGCGTGATTGGCTGAACTTGGGGGAGACTTCCAGAAACATAATAGCCGGCTATTTTTCTGTTGGTAACACTTGCCTGTGATAAACAATTTGAAGGAAAACAGGATAAAACAAAAGGGATTCACAAACACGTATAACTAAGAAGGCAGCAAAGAAGATCGTTCAATGAAAAGAGGTAAGGATAGGAAACAGTGTGGTGGCCACTAGCCACCGTTTTATCAGAAGTCCTCACATCCTTATCTGCGCTCGTCTGTATTCGTTACGTTACAGAAGCGTCTGCTTTGTTATCGCATCATCTGTCCTCGTATGATTCCATCCACCGACCTTCATCGCTACTTGCGGTTCAAAGGATCGCAAATCAGCAGAGCGAAGGTGAAGTCATGTACCGAGATTAAAGTAAAAACTACTGAGAACGTTCCCATTGTTTGATGAAAAATGACCATTAGCTACGTGGCCTAATAAAAGAGAATATGCAACCGAAGAATGTTAAAACTCTTCTCGTATGATACCATCAAGCCTCAAAATTCATGTTTATCAAACATGAAGCAATACTGCAACCCAGTTGCCAGTGTCATACATAAATTCAACAGAAATATCGCAACTGTCACCGTCTGTCCAACGAACTTCGACATCAAACAACAAGCTGGTCACATCAACATCAATCATGCCTCTCCATTGCCTCACAGCGAGTCTACTCTCCGGCCTCTTCTGCCGTGACCCCTATCCTTCGTCCCCTCTATGTAGACAGTCATTATTTTCATATGGACTCGAAGCTTCTCCAACAGATGTAGGCTACACTAATTTCCCCATGGACTCGCTGTTTCTCACTTCTCCCGCTCTATTTAGACCGACGGTACCAGTTTTACCATGGTCCGTGGGTTCTCACTGCTCTCCCTCTACGTACTCTTAGCCCGTCCCATGGGTTCGGCAGGGGTTGCTTTCCCCAAGATTACTTTACTAATAGCTTTCCCATGGGCTCAGGGTTTCTGTCCAGTGTCCATCACATTCTCTAAATTCATTACCTGTTTTCCCATTGACTCGCCTTTTCTACTTACTCCCCCGATAGGTGGTCCGTGCCAACTTCCCCATGAGCTCGTAGTTTCTCCCCCCTACGTCGGCCATGCTGTTTGTTTCCCCCATTGACTCGCGGTTTCTCCCCACCAATCACCAAATAATCCGTACCTGTTTCCCATGGTATCACTGTTTCCCACTTCTCTCCCTCTATGTAGTCAGTCCGTACCTGTTTTCCCGTTGGCTCGGGAGTCGGAGTCTTTCCCCAATCCATCCCTACATACCCGTTGAAGGACTGCTCCGGTTGTTTTTCAATAGAAAAACACAATTCTAACGAATAGTGTTTGTCTTTTCAAACAACCTGCGGTGATCTCGTACCCGTTTCTCCATGGGCTAATGATTCCTACTGACCACATACTCCGTACCTGTTTTCCCATGGGCTCACTCTGTTTCTCCCTACCCTCTCTCTATGCATCCCGTCCGTACCTGTTTTCCCATGGGCTCGGAGTTCTCAGTACGAGTGCTATCCCTCTATGTATCCCGACCGTACCTGTTTTCCCATGGGCTCACGATTCCTGCATCCACTTAGACCGTACCTGTTTTCCCATGGGCTCGGAGTTCTCAGTAGGAGTACTCTCCCTCTATGCATCCCGTCCGTACCTGTTTTCCCATGGGCTCGGGGTTGGTGACGGTGGTCGAGAAGAACCCGTCCCACTCGAGCCGTCCGTACAGGCCGGCCCAGTGGTTGTGTCGGTTGCCCGTGTGTGGCAGACACCAGGGCAGCAGCGTGCCGTACTGGCGGTCGGCAGGGTCGCACGGCCGGCCGCCGGCGCACGCGCACACCCCGCGCAGCCGGCCGCCCGCCGAGCGGCCGTTCTTCTTGTCATGGTGCGTGTAAAGTCTGCGGGGAGGTGCGCGTGTTAACGGTATGTAAACGCAATGAATCAAATCGAATCATATGGTCGTTTGTAGCTGATCACATCGGTTTGAGTTACACAAGCCATGTTACCAGGTCCTGAGTATGAGTGTTAGCAGATAGCAATGTCACCGAACAATAAGACAAGAAGGACAGCACTATGCTATTTGATGCTTACATTCGTTAGAGATTTCACACTTGTAATACCAACATCAAATAAAGTTTTATCCGGCCTCCTGAGAAACTACAAAAACAAACAAGTCGTCTAACCAACAACTCTCAGTTTCACTCTCCCATTCGCGGAGAGGATAGAAAAGACGGTAATATACGCGAGCCGACGACAGAGGCCCATCCGGTCCCGGCGCCGGGATGAGACCCACACAGTGACCTTGTTCCCTCGTCACACCAAATCAGCGAACAGCGCGCGTTCCGGCCGCGCCGCCCAATCGACTACATAATTCATTAGCGCCCGGGCGCCGTCAGAGCCACGGACCATAAAACGAGAAATTCCCGCCACGCTGTAGACCTCTTAGGCAAGTATTTCCAGAAGTGCGAGGAAACTGTTCAGTCAAGGTCTTTCGGACGCGAAATTCGCAGAAGGAACTGAAAGAAATACATCAAACCCAGCCCTGATTTATCAGTCTGTCGCTAGGTGGCTCCGGATGCTTTTCATTTATGGACATCAGGTGAATGATATAGCACGAATGAGGAAAAATGTAACCTTAAAATTGTGACAAAAAAAAAAAAATCACCATAGTTTTTCTCCTTCGTGAACAGGCAAAAAATTGCTGACCTGTCAGAACCACGTTAGCTGCAGTCGTTATATTTAGCCTTTAACTTCAAAATGTAATCCTTTTCCGTTTCACAGTGAATTATTAGTCGAGCAAGAGATCGGATTTAAATCTGACCGGAAACAGTAATGCTACCTACTTCTCATACTCATCGGTCTACGATACTGGAGTCTGGCTTCGATTTCTTTCACCTCACGTCTCACGATCTCACCAAACTCCGAGCTATTCCCAGCTTACTCCTAAACTCTCAATGCGCCGTCTAGCTCCGTAACTCCCCCAATGCACCGGCCAACTCCATAATCCCCCCCCCCCCACACCCACACAACAACAACTCACAGAACTCTGGACGTGGAGCCGTCGCTGAGCCGGACGGCCAGGTTGGGCAGGTCCCGCCAGTCGCTGCCCGGCGCCGTCGGCACGTGGCGGATGCGCGCCTCGATCAGCGGCGCCATCTCCTTACACACGTGGTCACGCAGCACAGTGGTCTCCGTGGCACCGGCGCGCATCTGTGCAGAGGAAGGCGGCGGTCATAAGAGGTTACAGCGAAACGAGTAATTAAAACAGCACCTATTCAAACAGGGATAGCTCTGCAATTAACTACTATTTTGGATAATTATACTACCTATTAGTTATTACTAATTATATTCTCGCATACTTCTTGGCACACATCTATCTAGGCTACGAGAAAAAGATAGTCCGCTCAGTACATGCCAATATCTAGCGTTTACCACATTGACTGTCCAATATGGTAGCCGGTAGGTTTGTCGGAGCTGACTGAAACATGGTCTCAGACCCACGTTGGCTGCTAGTGTGTGTTTTCAAATACTACCCGCGAACACGTGTTCACCTCCCTAACGTTTGTGAGCCGGCACGCACCATTCTCTGGAAGTGGGAGGCGGCGTCTCGGTCGTAGGCCATCTGCTCGTGTTTCTCGCCGTTCCTGATCTCGGGAAGGTCCGACATGGCGTCCCGCACGGTCACCGTTCGGTACGGGGCCGACTTGATCCACTGACACGTCGATATGTACTGCGGGAAACGGACACCGTCACAAGTTACTGCGGATAGACGACAATCATGGAGAATGTTGTGTACGGGAACATACCCGGCCACGATATTTATTAACACAATGTTCTCTAGGGGAATAACCCGGCCACGATATTCATTAACAGTCATTGATTTAGGAAACGACAGAGAGCTGAGTGATTAGCCAAGGCCTCAACAGGGGAGCAGCTTAAGTAACAGAACTATAACGATCACTAAATGTTTATGGTGATCGTCGAGACACTTCCGCTCAGCGGATCTTACCTTGGTGTCCTCCATGACGACGGCTAGTGACGAGGCGCGGAGCGAGAACACGTGCTGGGGCTCCGGGTACAGCGGGAGGCGGTAGCCGGGTGCTGAGGCCAGGATGATGGCCCTGGAACGGCACACACGATGGGCAGTTAGTTAACAGAAACTGAGGTCAGAAAGCAGCAACGGCGAGCAGAAAAGAATGACGAAACTCGATATACTAGGCACAACACAGCGACAGAACCCGTCTCGTGAACAATAATTAAAGTCGACACATATAACATCTTGATTAACCTATTGATGACCCCACGCACCGTCGTCGGGTCTGCGGCACGCCGTAGTTGCCCGCCTGAAGCACGCCGAAGCCGCACTGGTAGCCCATCTTCAGCAGACAGGCCAGAGTCAGGCGCAGCACCATGTTGGCCTTGTACGAGACGAAGTTACGCACGTTCTCCAGAATAAAGTACTTGGGCCGGTAGAAGTCGCAGAAACTCAGGAAACTCACAATCAGAGAGTTCTGGAAAACGAAATCACATATGTAAAAAAATATGTTGGTCACACAACACGATAATAAAAGACAGCGTATGGATTGGAGACTTGACAGTTGACAAGATAAAACAGCACAAAAAACGATCGACTTTTTTGGCGGGGGGGGGGGGGGGGGCAGGAAAATTCTAAATTGCGATAAAATATCATTATTGCGTAATTGTTATTGTCAGTATACATATTCCACTACGGTCATGGTCAGTCCTTACGCACCTTGAACTGCGAGTACTGCCGCGAGTTGAAGCGGTTCATGCCGGAGAACCCCTGGCAGGGCGGACCGCCGCAGAGCAGGTCCACCTCCCCGGGCCGCGGCAGTCGCTGGCCGCTGGCGTTCAGCTCCGCTCCCTGAGAGACGGGACACGGGGGTCGCGGGTAGGTCAGTGAGTGATGACTCCGTGACCCGTGGAAGCGTCAGCGGGTAGTGACACGGACTAATGGGGATTGGGGAACGAAATGCTCAATTATGCGATGATGGCATGCCACCATGACCAATACTTTCGACATCAACAAGTACTATTACGAAGCTAACAACCCAAAATTATGTGCCAGTAGATCAGCGGTAATTCCTTCAGTACCAAACGAAAATCTGAACGTTCTCTAGTGGTTTCTAAGCTCTCCAGCTCCGCCCGAGTTGCGTTCGGAGCTGCCGCCGCCCGCCCACTTACATCGATGGCGAGCTGCAGCAGCTGGTTGCAGTCGTCTGAGAACACGGTGGCCTGCGGGTTGTTGAGGCGGTACGCGTTCGCCGCCGGCTGGCTCACCTCGATCGCCCACAGACTGAAACGTTAACCAGGTACAGGAGCTGTCAGTGGGGTGATGGAAGTCATGGAAGGCGATGTAGCAATAATTTTGATGATGGAAATTTAAAGGCGCCGAAACAATCTTTATATAACTTACAAGAAATACAGACAGAAAGCGGGAGTCACAAAATCGGTGAAAAAAAAATGTTGTGGAGTGATGCAACTTAACGTAACAGGACAGCTGAGGCCATCACAACTATTCACGATGAAGCCAACCTGCCGACATCTCAGCAGCACCCAACCAACCCCCGAGACATGCTCGCCCACGGCTCACCTCTTGGCCACTCCGACCTGATGCAGTCCCTCGGACAGACCTCCACAGCCAGCGAACACGTCCAGGGTGCGCAGAGGCGTCACAGTCGGGTGGTCGGGCGGGGTGGTCGGCGGTGGGGCGCTGCGGTCGGCGGCCGCTCCCTTACCCTTACCGCGGCCCTACCGAGTGAGGAAGTAGTCAGACGCCGGCGACTCGTGGCATGCATGATAGGTTATGTGCATAACATAATCCTTTTGCCCTTGTTAGAGCTGCTGTTGTGTTATGAGAGCAGCTCGCAGGGTTTAAGTTAAATAAAGCTTCGATTCGAAACATTTCTTCCACAAAACGGGAAAGGAAAACTTTGAAAGGCGTGCAAAAATAGCATCACAACACAAGCTACCACCAAACAATTATAAGCCGTTGCTGATACCCAACCATGCCCAACGCTACATCCTAGTCCCCCAACCATACAGCTGAACTCACCTTTCCAACGAGTCCCATGCGTCGGGCCACTGGCGGGGGCTCGACAAACTTGCGCTCTGTGGTGTCGTAGGCCTCGGTGAAGTAGAAGCGGTGCGGCCCGGACCGGCGGTATTCCTCCGGGGTGTTGGAGAGGTTCTCGCCGTACACCACGTGACACCGGCCGGCCACAAGGCGGAACGGCACGGATACCTCTGTGATACAGGAGCTGTCAGTGGGGCGATAAAAGTCATAAAGTCGATAAAGTCGGGGGGAGGATAAACGGTAAAAAAAGACAGGCGATTCGCTAGCACCAGCTGACGGGTAGGAATACAAGAACACTCATTGTATTGTAGAAGTAAAAACTAGGAAATATTGTTATTCAAACAGTTTTGTTAAATGTTGCTTGTTAAATGCATCTTGTTTGTTTCGTGGGCTATTAACTCAACAACAACAAGTCAACAGCCCACGAAAACAAACACAAGGAGTGCCCGAATCCGAAGCAGCCGCCGCTCGGCACCGTACCTTCGCCGCTGTAGTAGAGCATGTGCAGATCGTTGTGGACCGATCCCTCTGCGCCCCGGAAGGTGTCCTCCGGACGGTAAAACTTGGTGACGCGTATAAACACCTCTCCTGGAGTGGGCGTGGTAACGGTATGTACGTTAGAACATTTTTTTCCACTACAGGGCCGGTTGTCATGTCACGAAATGAATCAGCCACAAGATTGACATGACAAAATAGCCATACTTCCGACTACAAGCACTAAACATTTCCCATTCCTTATTCCCATTCAAGCCTTATTGCCCTCGTTCAACGAAAGGTTTGTCCATTGCAAATCTGCGTTAAAAACAGCTCCCCTTCAACCGATCCCCACTCGGAGTCGGTTCTTACCCGCCCGGTCGGTGAAAATCTCTGTGATGCGGCCGATCCGGAACGGTTCCGGTGTCTCCTCGTTCGAGCCCTTCACGTAGCTGGTCTGTTTCCGGTAGTACTCAGGGTACATCTCTTCATCCACCTGTAATCAACATAGGTGATATCTGTGAATCGGACGAAATTTATTCTTTATGCAGCTTTAATTCGGACACCGCTTGGAACGTTAGAAATAAGGGTTGGGGATATCATTGGGCTTTATGGCGCATCGAATGCAATGGTCATTTTGCATCTATGGAAAGACAGGACATAGATAGAAAGGCACAGGGCAATAAATATACTTATAGCCCATTTTGTGAGCATTATTTCACCACAATGCCTCAACATTCCTCGCCAAATAGCAGCAAGGTTACCTGACTCAAGATGACTTACCTGACTGAGGTCGAACTGTTTGGTTTTCTTGCCGACCCAGGACTGGCGCGGTTTGAGATTGAACGCCTCGGGCTGGAGGAAGACACACTCTCCCACCGTGTACAGTTCATCCTGGAGGCGGACCTGGCTGTACCGGGTCTGCGGGAAGGAACATAGCCATCAGAGTTCAGTCAGTAACGAAAACACACTAGCGCTGTCAACGTGCTAAAGACCTTCGGGCCAAAATGGGTAATTGGCATACGGATGGCAAATGTCAGCACAAACAGCACAAACAGGGTATAAAATCTATGAATTGCAGCGAAGTGAAGCAGGTCCCTGACAACACAACCTATAATTTCAACCAGTTATACAACACAAACACAAAATCAGCCACCCATACTCCACACTTTTTAACTATGACGACCCTGACCTGATGTTTGCTGGTATCCCCCTCCAGTTTGTTGAGCGGGGTGGGTGTGCGGCGCTTCTCCTCGATAGCGAGCGACTCGCAGCAGACACAGAAGGCCAGCCGGCCATCGCTGTTCTCCGGGACGGGAGGCACGTCCTCGAACCGGCCGAACTCCGGGTGGTACCTGGGGAGGTGATGGAAGGGTAGGTGAGTTGGCGGGCAAGGCTGCTGCTGAAGTGTAATCTCCCTGCAGCGGTATTACGAGCAGAGGGACGAGGAGGAGCTAAAGCGAAATTTTGGAATGTGTATTTTTGACTTCCGGTTAAGTGGAGACGCATAAATAAATTTTATCGACAGAGCAACAGTTAAAATTAAGCATTTTCTTTGTGTCCTCGATACAACATTTTTTTTTTTTTGTAGGCGACTTTCGTTCGTTAAATGTCCACGAAGAGTGAAGACTCACTTTTTCTGGAACCAGAACGTGTCGGCCTCGTTGTCAGCGACGTGGGAGGACTCCCTGGCGGCGAACCAGCCGGCCGCCTGACTCCGGTCCAACACTCGGGCCTGCGAGGGAATAAAGTCAGTTGGATCGGAGGAGTCTCAGCGACGAGACCCCAGGTAATGTGCGGCGAACTGCGACGATTGAAGGAAAGCCAGCATACATAACGTCGCTGCAAATGCTTCCAAGATAACCTTTTAGAAATGGTGAAAGAATATGATGCGACATCATCACTAAATTATCAACTGCTGTCTCGTCCGCTACCGCGTTTTATATCAGACGAACGAGCCCTGCATATTGTGAGAAGCAGTCCCACAGATCAAAGTGCCATCTTGTGTCTGAATCGTGAACTAGCCCCACCTGTCGTGTGATGGGAGTCGAGCGCCATGTCCTCACACTCGTCAGTGACGTGAATATCACCTCACCTGTCGTGTGATGGAGTCAAGCGCCATGTCCTCACACTCGTCAGTGACGTCAATATCACCTCACCTGTCGTGTGATGGAGTCGAGCGCCATGTCCTCACACTCGTCAGTGACGTGAAGTTATCACCTCACCTGTCGTGTGATGGAGTCGAGCGCCATGTCCTCACACTCGTCAGTGACAAATAGCTCGGTCGGCTCGGCCGTCTCGCCAAGGAGGGTGTCCTGGCCGCGACTGAAACAGAACAACCGGTCAGACAGTGGACGGGACACAGGTAAACAACAGCTGAGCTTCTACAAAAAGGGCGGGATCATCTGTCGTCCGATAAAAACCCTGGTATCAACATAGCCTTCAAACTTCAGATTAGTTTGCAACAACTTACAGAAAGAACATTAGATACTTGCCAGCATGACTTATCAGTTCAGTTTTTGTTTCGAGTTCAGGCCCTTCATATAAATATAAACTACAAACATTTCGTACGCGAACCAGCCAAGCTGAGACATGCCTTACCAGAACCAGGAGGCGTGGAAGTAGCGCTGTCCGCCGGCCGTCTCCCAGAGGTACTCGATGCGCGCGATATACGGCAGCTGGCCGGTGACGTCCGACTCGACGACCACACAGTCACCCACTGACAGACGCTCCCCGTTCACATCGACCGCGCTGCCGGCAGGGCAGGTCAGGTCAGGTCAGGTCAGGTCAGCGGCAGGTCAGCGGCAGGTCAGCGGCAGGTCAGGACAGCCCTAGCCAACAGACGGCACTAACGATCCGTAATTTGGCGATCAGCGAATGATCACTGCGTGGCGAAAATATCCAGGGAAAGTAAGCTACCAGAAATCGAATAACGAAAATGGATCATAACGAAGTATCATAAATCAATATCGAAATCAATCATAACGAAAATGACACGAACGCCAGAGAAATGACTTGCACCTATCAAACCAGGGTCTCTTACAGAGCACATCAAACGCACAAACTTTAATCAATCCTTTCAGCGTAGTCCATCTGTAAATCAAGAGACGTTCAAAGACACGAGTCTTTCCACATATGCTTCATCGTTCGCGCATTACCGCCGTCCCACTCACCCGTAGTACGTCCGTCCTCCGTGCGTGCCGCGCGGCGCGTCCACCCAGGTGCAGCTCAGCGACTGGCGGCGCACCCGGTGGGGACGGTGCACGGGCACCTCGGCCGTCCTCGCCGGGTCCTCTTTGTCCTCCTCCTCGCCATCCGAGTCCTCCGCCTCTTCAATCGCCATATTTGGACATCTGAGAGGTGTGAGAGGGGAGGAGGCGGTGATAGGAGTTACATATGGGTGAGCGAGAGGTAAGTAGTACAAGATGATACCATGTCAAGCTTTACGATCACACTACTTGATGAAATAAACCAATTCAGGACACAAGAGTGGCAAGACATTCGTGCATTGGATTTGCTAAGGTCACGTCCTAATAAGCAATCGACTGACATTGCGCATCCTTACACAGGTTGTCGGAGATGAGCAAGAGGCCCCAGCGGATCTGCCCGACTGACCTGCGGTTGATGCAGCACTGTTTGCTGCGCCCGCTGCCGCCAAACTTGGTCATGTCCTTGCAATGTCGGCACTCGCCACAGTCGGGCTGCTGGCAGGCCTCACAGACGCCGCAGCGCGTGCGACGTGGGCCCTGCTTCATCTGAGAAAATGGACAGGGGAGATATGTCATCTGTGCAAAAGCTGGTGTACTGTAATTCACATCCGTCATGACAAAAGTGATATTACTTTTTGGAGGAAAATGACTACGTTTACAACTTTTTGACAGTGCTACAATGTATTTGGATAAAAAAGACGGTCTATGGCAGAGGCTCGGCGAGTGTTAAAACTCGAACGCCAGTTGCGTACCTTATCGTCGTTCTGAATCTGTCCCTTGAAAAAGTTCTCGAACAGATCGGAGACGAGCGGCGTGGTGGTGGCCTTGGTCATTGGAGCGGCTGTGGGCTTCTTCACGCGGGTAACCTTCCGGATGGCGCGGCTGAGAACAGAGGGGAAGTCGCGTCAGGCTACAATAAGTTGGATTCACTACAGCGAGAAGAATTGCTATTGCAGACTATGTGCAGCAAGCGAGCTTGCCACTATGGTTAGCGATCACATTCTGGGAGAGCAAGTAGCTAACAGTGCAAATTACAGCACAAGGTGCTGTCCCGTTTCCTCCCAAGTATCTGTGCCTTCCCGCGATCGCCCTGCCGTTTCCGAGACCACTCCAGCCTCTACATGAGCCCATCCCGCCGTCTCTCACCGTTTTCCGAGCGTCACTCCTGCCAGTTTGATGAGCGCTCGCACACAGACAGTGGTCAGTAGCTGATTCTCCTCGTCGCCGCCTGCCAGGTCGAAACTCTGCACCTGATCGACCACAAACTGGGCGTGTCGTAGCAGACAGTCCTCGGTGAAAGAGTCCGTCCCCAGACCGGAGGGGGGCACCGTCGTCTGGTGGAGAGGAAGGGGGGGGGGGGGTCAGTGGACCGCAACTGCATGCGATGCCAGTGAGATGCACTCCAGTAAGGGTTAATATTCAACTATAATCCGATAAATTAGGGCCATTTCCGTCACATGCGCATTTCCCGGTGTGGTAGATCTGTCTTGATTAAATGCTGGTAATGATTCGCTTACTGCAGTATCAACTAAGAAACGAAAATTTAGTAAAGGTTTGTCGAAAGCCTAGCCAAAGGCCTCACCTGCAGTTTGTTGAGGAGGTCCTCGTAGGTGGCGAACATGTTGTCGCTGACGAACTCGATCACCAGTTTGGACATGTAGATCTTCTCCCGGACGGAGTCCATGATGGGCGCGTACTCGGGGCTCGGCTCCATCAGGTAATACTCGGCGCAAGCTGGCACAGGTGGGAAATACATTGAAAAGGGCGTCATTTAGGTCGCAAAAATAAGTGCGATCGTGATTAATATCGGCAGCAATGGCAATTACTCGGACGACCGAGGTTGCAGTTATTCACTTACTTAAAATAGGAAAAACTAATTTACTTTTTAATCTGATCCATAACTCCTTCTAAGTCGATGCTAAAATGCCAATGAGTCAATTTCCAATTCCATCCAAACTATGTGTGGCAATGCACGTTGTAGGTATGTATCATCTTAGATTCCGCACCCCACTTGTTTCAGGCCATCGACATGGGGTCCTATTTTCCAACAACGCCTCCCCTTACACACACCTGTGGTGAAGCCGACCAGGGCCAGCTCGCCGCCGTCGAAGCCCGTTGTCCACCACTCGTTGATGGGCCCGACGTTCATGCACGGAACGCCGTTCTCCGCCGAAGGGTCCTCCTCAAAGATTGGCTTCATATAGCTGCGCAAATGAGAACTAATGTTAGATGGAGATAACACAATAGCCAGCAGACCGGAGATACACCCGGCTTAGACGATAGCTGAATCAACACCATAAAAGTGCGAGACACGAAGTTCACTGGCTTCTTATTACAACCACATTACAACGTAATATTTACCGTGGGTAAATATCATGTTTACTGCTCAGATCTGTGTACATAGGTACCACGAACTACGGCGACATTCTACAAATAATCACGCCAAAACACGGTAGCGCCAAATTGCATAAACTTCATCTATAACATTTTTAAGCACTAAGCATATACTCAACGTCAAATGCATTCGAGATTGAACTAACCCGGAGAAGAGCAGTTCGACGTTCCTCTCGATGAGTCCTGAGTCGAACGGACACAGGTGGCCGTGCTGGTCGTAAATAGAAAACTGGGTGAGCTTGTGCTGTGGTCGCTCGTCGCACTCCTGAACAAACTCCTCCTCGCCAGTGAACAGAGCCAGACGCGGGTCGCAGAGAGCCACGTACTCGTCCATCGCGCCTGGGGGAGAGGGGAGGGAGAGACAGAGGGTGAGGGTTGTGATGGATCAAGTGATGTGATAATATACTCAACACCACGTCCCCTAGTTCGGTTGGTGGAGGCGAACTAGTTCAGTTGGCTGGTCAAACTCCAGCTGACGAAAACCCGGAATCCAGTTACTCCGGCGCTCGATGTATGATACTCCTGATGGTGATGGTCTGCAATTCAGTTAGTTTGGTCAGTAAACTAAACAGTCAAGTTTCAAGCCACGCTTGAAACTTGACTTGTTAAGTTTTGATAGCCACGATAAGCATTCAGATTGTTCCGATTCCATCCAGAATCGCCCGGTAGGAGACGAAGCAAGCGTAACAAGCTCTTCTTTACGCGGGCTTCGTTAATTCGTCCATTTAAACATTGGGGTAAAAATAAAAAGAACAAGATAAAAATAAACAATGAAAGTAAGTGATTCTTATTACGATACCTACGAGCATAAGAAAAGTTATGCACAGTTAGTCCACGACTCCGCAGGTGATACAGATGACCGCCATACCACAGTTCCCGCCGGTAGGTACCTACCATCCGGGTGGCCCTGGCAGGTGCGGGTGTCTGGTGACTCCAGCAGCTGACGGCACGTTCCACAGCGGGCCGGAAGGGCCTGCACTGGTCGAGCCTGCTGCGTGGCACCATTTGAATCACTGTTTCTGAGGGAGGTCAGAATATGGCAGTGACAGAACAACCTTGCAGGGTTGAGGTCAGTTGATTTGACAAGAGGGTTAGCTGATTAATGGTGTTGGTTGATAGAATGAAGTCAGCAAGTATTCTGAAAGTTCCTTACATAAAAATGAGCATAACATGCAATAAATGAAAATGTATGGAAATGCTAATGCTGTGCCATGTAGGTAAAGCAAGAAAGTAAAATATAACTTACTTTTCTTTTTCATTGTCATTTATTCCTGTTTTCACTTTCTTTAGAATTTGATCTTCTTCTTCTTCATTTTCTTTGATGTCTCCTGATTCCTTCTTGCTTCCATTTGCCTGCTGGGATTCTTGACTTCTCCTGCTCTTTGCCATGAAGCTGGTCAGAGTGATCTGGCCACCACTGGCAGCGCCCCGGCGACGCCGACCTCGTCTGACACCTGTTGATGGGGGAGTTTTCTTTTCTGTTTTAATTTCTTTCATGTGAACATCATCAGCTTCACCAATGTCTGCCACTGCCTTGTCACGGGAGCTTGCTTGAGGGCTTGAAGAACCCACAACTTCTGTTGAGCCACCATTTTCCAGGTCAACAGAATGCATATTTTCTATGAATGTTGAGTTTCTGTTGCCAGATTGTGACTGCAGTGTTTGGAACAGGGCTCAGCACAATGCCCTCAGCATATCAATATAAGTTGAAGCTTGACTCAACCTGAAAGAATAAGGGTACTGGTAAGGAAAAAATAAGGCAGCCTTATCATCACGTGGCAAAAGTGATCAAAACACAGGAAATTCAGTCTACCGTGATCTTTTTCACAATTATTTGTTTTCCTTGTCATGGTTTGACTTGACCCAGGGCGGTGATTCAAAACAGCATGCTGTGCGCAGCATTGTATTAGGTTTCCATGGAAACATCAAGCTCACATGCTCCCAGTCCCAACAGCCGAACCTGTCTCAAACGCCGCACCATTGCACTGTGCAGTAGGTAGTGCACACTGCACTGCAGTGCCAGGCCATGAAACACAGCCCGTGTCAATGTAAAATAGCATGATTGCCAGTTGCATTCATATTTAGGGTTTCCAATTTTTTTTTTATAAATTTAGTCCGAACCTTTTGATAGGAAGGATTCACAAGGACAGAGCCACCGCTAAGCAAAGCTTGTTGCGGTGACCCTGCCCTCTACCCTCCGATCGCGCAATTCCAGTTCTATGGCAGAATTTATAGTCCAAAGTTTAACGTGCGCACATAGCCGCGCACGGCCGGTCCCCTCACTGACTTCGCCTGGCTACGGCCTGCCACCAACCGCAACCATACCTTCAGGAGGCCCATAAATGTCGAGCGCCCGTCGCGCTTCGAACCCGGACTGTTATAACCGGGAACGCGTGCTCTCACCACGCGGAGTCCAACGCTCTACCAACTGAGCTACGGGACCGGCAAAAGCAATGTCTAAAAAAACAAGGGTCATACCTACCTAATAAAAATGTCCCCTGGCTGGGTGCATTTCAATTGTTATTTCTGTACAATCAACATATCAATATGGCTGTTTTTACTGAATTATGAGTCTGCGTGTGCTTAAAATGATTTTTACCTCTACATGGTTTCCTATCCTATGCTACAAATCAATATCAAATACTTACTGACGACAGCTGAAATTACGGTCTTTTATTTTCCATACGGGCTAAAATAAAAGATTGTGTGTGGTGCATGAGCGTCGTTCCATCTTGAAATCGCGCGCAAAAATTTGGCGGGAATAGCTACCAAATGAGAATAGATACCTTTATTGTCCGAAATAAGTATTTTGAAAGCAATGATTGAAAAATAACATTCATGCAATATTTCATACAAATATTAGAAAGTGCAATTAATCAGCATAAAATGTAGCCTTCTGATGAAAATGAATTCATTTATATGACTTTTTTCTCAAGTGTTTGTAACTTTTCTCTGGCACGTAGAGAGAAACTTCATAGAGCATAGAGAAATAATTTGCTACAACAACAGCGCACTAGAGATGAAGAACGGCGCAATGACGCCCCCGCCCCCTTTATTTCAATGCCGTCCATGGGCTCTGGTATTAACTGGATAATTCGCCAGCTGACGCCGTATGGTGGCGCTAGTGGAGCAGCACCATATGACGTCAGCAGAAAACACCGTGAGCAGCTATGAAATGGGAGCGAGCACCACGGAAATATCGAAAGGTGATGGACATGTACTGACTTTGGTCATTCAAGTACCACCAACACCATACAAAAACCAAATAGTATCATCAAGACTGATTCTGGAATCGATTCGTTCGGGTATTTAAAACACACAAAAAATGTTTGTTACCGAATTCTGAAACAGTATAAGGATATTCTTGTTCCTTACTTTTACCTTGTGGAGTACTTTTACTTGCTTTCTAGTGCGCCCATCACTATCTTGAAATCTGGATTGCAACGCTGTAGGAAAACTTTTTTTTTCATTTGTCATTTCTTCCACTTTTGAGCAGTGATAATTTATTTGGTTTTATACATTAAATAATGAAGACGGCTCCTAACTTTTTAGGGATCTGCAGTGGCCCAGAGAGCAAAATCAGATATTTTCTAGAAACTTGAGGCCACTATTTTCTTACCTGCTAGATAATATACAAATATTGACATGTAAAGAATGATACGGGTGTATTATTCTGCAGAAATATCAATTCAAAGTATTTAAATTTTTCAAGAACCTTTTTAAAATCTTACATAATGACTTCTTTTAATACAAGCTGGAAGCAATTTCAATCAATAAAGCAGCACAAGGCAGTACATTGAGCTACGATGATCCATAACCAATCGGCACCTGCAATTTGATTGATCTTCGAGATGTACCCTGCCTCTGTTCCCTGACTTTCCCTTTTCGTTGTAACGGGTGAAGTGAATATTCTGTGAATATTCTTCTGACAGTCAGTTTTTAGTCCTACATTACGTTGTCAATCAGATTTAATTGGTTCAAAAACCGTCGTAGTCCGTCTCATTCGCAGTCTACATCTCCACATGCGCACCCATACATGCTCAAAATTTTCACTACGCATGTACTATGTACCCTGTAGCGTATCCTGATGAAAAATGTTTTGTTGAAATCAGAGACACTTCCCAAGGTAGGCCATAGTCCATGGCCATATATTTAAGTCAAAACAGATGAAACAGATAAACACAATTCCAATCATCAAGTCAACCAGCATCGACAATCTGCACATAAGTTCTAAACCTATTGTAAGACTACATTGTATTCAAACTTTGTATTGCAGAAGGGTGGAAGCTGCATGGAATTATGCGACAATTTCAGCGTGCATCCACGCTCGAAAGAGCAGGGTTAATTGTAACAATGTCAATACCATAACAATAACGTAATTGTAGGTGTTGTGATTCGGTTGTCTCTTGTCTGTGCTGGCCATTGCGCGGGCGGTCCAGCGGCGGAACTCGGCTTCGCCGCCGTGGCGCGCTGGCAGTTGCTTCTTCTTCTTCTTCTGCATCCCATCGCCAACTCGCTCAGGGGGGCGGCGGCGCAGGCGGGTCGAGCGGCGGCTCGGTCCGCCCAACATCCTCGATGAAGGTGACGACCTTCGTCGCCGGGCCGCCGAGGACGTCGACCAGGCGAGGGTCGACACCCCAGCGGCGGCGGCGGGCCGCCTCATAGGCCGGACAATCGGTCAGTAGGTGCGCCGCGCTGTCGGGCTCCCCGCACGCGGGGCATTCGTCGTCGGCTTCCGGGCCAATCTTGTGGAGCGTGTCACGGGTCAGCGGTGATGTGCCGGTCCTCAGCTGGGACAGCGTCACCGACCCCAGCGCGCCAGGGAGTCGTGGCCAGGCGTGGGGTCCGGGTGCGGGTGGGCAGCAGTTGCCCTCTGTCGCGACAGCTCTCGGACATGGCGCGTGACGGCGGCCCGCGCACTCGACAGGTCGATCGGTGCGCTGTCTTGGTCGCCCGCCGTGGCCTCGCCAGCCAGGCGGTCGGCGGTTTCGTTGCCGTCCAGCCCGGCATGGCCTGGCACCCACTGGAGCACCGTCTCGGTGCCGTTCTCGGCGAGGGTGCTCAGCACTCAGCAGCCTCCACACCTCGGCGGCCAGGGCCATGGTCTGGTTAGCTGGGCCGCGGCCGAGTAGTTGGAGCCCAGACCTTGAGTCGGTGAGGAGGCGGACCGACTTGGTCGATGCCAACTCCCCGTCCCCCAGGCCGGCCACAGCCGCGAACGCCTCGCGCATGGCGGTCAGTTCTGCTCTTAGGCTGGAGCAGACCGCCCCTGCAGGAGCGCGCACGGTCCCTTCTCTGTTGAGGTGGTGGAACTGGATCAGCGCCTGCGCCGCCCTGTTCCGTCCGCCGCGAGCCGAGCCGTCCGACCAGATAGTGACGTCCGGGTGCGGGAGCTCTGCAATGGCTCGCAGGGCAGCTTCCCTGCGGACTGCAGGCGGGTCCGACCGGCAGGTGGCCACGGGCAGGTCCACCCTGAAGGTGATGCCGCCGCGGTGGCCCAGCCATGGCGGGTCGCAGCTGTAGAACGCCGAACCTGTAACACAATAGAATTGCAATTGTAACAAAGACCTGCATGGTCAGCACACATCTGCAGTGACTGTCATCCCAAGTTGGTATGAATTGGCACAAAGTTGGGTCATGGTAGCAGACGTAGCACAAGCTGTTGTGATATGTCATACCGTAGGACTAGGTCGTAGGTTGTAAATTTTAGGTTTAAGGCTGTATGTTGTAGGTCAGGTCAGGTAAGGTTTGGTTAGAAAGACCCATTCTCGTGCATCGGGCAGCTTGTGCTACATCTACCTTACCAATACCCAATTTGGATTCCCAAAATTGATGGCAAACAGGCTTTTTGTATAACAAGTGTGGTTAATTGTTCTAATCCCCGCTGCAATGTGAGGGTAACTGCTTTTCTACAATCACAAAATTTGAATTCATATAGGTAGGTGTTTACATGTTGATGTTCAGAAAATGATACAAAATATGACACAATTATAGCTGCAACTGGATAGTGGATACCAACCTCAACTAAAAGTTTCTGCAGCCTTATAACCTAACAAATGACTAAATTGCCAAAATAAATCCCTTAGTACAATAGCTTGACTCTAAAATAACAGAAATTTAGCATGCAGACCCTGAAATGGAGGGTTTATGAAAAGCAACAAAAATAAACATTCACTAATATCAATATGTTGTTATAAATTTCATATGTAGCATAAGCGCCAATACTGCCTTCATTTACAATGTTGCTACTGTTTTCCACTCACAAACGCTGCCCTCCGTGGACAGCAGCAGCAGCAATGAAACGTCACCCGTGGTGTGACATCATCACCCATGACGTAATGGAAATCCAGTTGTTACCAAGGCCCCCGTCCATTCTCTCGCATTACTCTCTCACCCCTATTTGCTCTCACCGTCTTGCTCTCACCGGCTTTCCGCATCGCGGCCAAGTTCTATATACAAATATACCGTGCATCGCAGCAAAGCCGCATACGGATACGGCATTGAAAGCCTCACATCTTTCACTGCAAGTTTCACTACAATTGCTCATTTTTTACAACACGGGGAGGTTGGCTTGCTTGTGTGAGTACTGGGCACTGTTTATATTGTTTTGGTCAGTAGAAGTTCATGAAAATATTCATTGCATTCGTTTCACTATATTGGTGGTAGGTATCATTAGTTTAATTTTGCCTTAGTAGAGAGAAAATAAATCAATGTGATTGAAGTTTGAACATGTTTTTAAAATATGATTTTTGTTCGTGTCTTTTAGCTTGTCGAACAGCATGCAATGTTGGTGTCTGAACATATCTACATTAGATCAATGTAATCTTACAAATCCTTGATTTCAGAGCTTTCAGACCAGAGAACTTTGGCAAGTTTTTGCTGCAAGTTGCCTGATCTCAGCTGTCCATCATAATGAGTCTCCAGAGAGTTTTCTCACTGCAGAGTCATGTTGTGTCTGGTTATGTTGGGAACAAGAGTGCAACATTTCCACTTCAGGTAAATAGCGAAGTAGGTACCTACTACCTACTACCTACCTAGGTGCCTTTGGCATTTATGTTAAGCTTAGGCAAAGTGTAATTTTTCCTTATATGTGTAGGCTAGGTATTTTTAAGTATTCTTCATCTACACGTTAAACGGTTATCGCTGATGGTTACGCCAGCGGCCAGCTTTACCGATACCCTATTATCATCCAGTTGGAATATTCCTGGTCGGCTGATTACTTAGAGACTGCAGTTTAAAGTGCCCACATAGCAGCATGGCAATGCTGACCTCCACCTGCTGTCAGCTGCTCCCACGCACCGCATATCAGCACTGTCAGGAGTCTTCATATACCTAGCGCTGGAGCGACTCAAACCCGGGCTGTCACTACCGGGAGTCCAGCGCTCGGCCAACTGAGCTGCGGGACGAACATTAAGCCTTGGGACGGGACTGGGAGGCATTCCTTAGGTCAAACTATCGTGACATTTTTTAGGTCCGTCAGTCTGTAAGCAATTTCGTAATTCAAGCGACAGAAATAATCTTCAATACCTACCTACATTATGTATATGCGTTGTAAGAGGCTGTAGACAGGTACTGAAGCTAACGATATAGTTAACGTGCCGGTATTATGTCCTACCAGTCCTACCACTGTTGGTTCTTTTTTTACAGGTCCATGGGTTTGACGTGGACGCCGTGAATTCGGTGCAATTCTCCAACCACACTGGCTATAAATGCTTCAAGGGCCAGGTTCTGAACGACTCCGAACTTGGTAAGCTTTGTCGGAGAGTAAAATTAAGGTGCAGAATGTTGTCTGCCAGTTAATATTAGATCATGATAGTGTTCTTACTGACTGAACTCTGTAACCTCGCTCTGGAAAGATATAAATAGGTATCGTAGATTGATGCTTCTGTCTTCTGGTTATTTTGAATTCCGGCGACAAATTCAGATTAATTTGCATTGGGCGAAGTGTTCTGAATATGCTGTTCTACTTCTGTCCATAATAAGAGGATACTTTCGCGTGTATTTTCTACGTGATTTGTCACGTAGGTACCTACCTAATAATGATAATGAAAGATATCACACGTTTGATTATAATGAAAGACACTTTTCCGACAAATGTTTTTTTTTGCGGCAATATTACCCATAGAGATCTTATATCCATAAGATCTCTATGTATATAAGATCTCTATGATATTACCAGCTTCATGTTTCAAATGGAAAGTTCATTGGATTTTTTATATAAGTAAATGACTTCTCTAGTACCCTTTCTCGTGTTCCATTTTCACTGGTGTTTTTCTATGTCTTTGAACAGTCGCTGCCTGACCTTACGGTGACCTTACGCTGCACGGCACATCATCTAGCTTACAATGCAACAGGGAACACGCCATAACATAATCCCCATTTGTTTCCGCGACAGAGGAGCTGGTGTCCGGTCTGCGTCTGAACGACATCAACAAGTACTCGCACCTGCTGACCGGCTACATCGGCGCCCCGTCCTTCCTACTGAAGGTGGCGGACGTGGTCAAGGAGCTGAAGCAGGTCAACCCGGACCTCGTCTATGGTGAGATGCGCTCGCTCGTGGACTAAAGTCGTCTTAGGGCGTGAGATCGAGGGACACGAGAGTCGTGGTTAGTCTTCCGCTGAGTTAATAGCTTTGTTCTATTTATGGGATAGAGCAATAGCTGCTGTTGTCGTGTCGTTACCCTTACATGAATAAGCTATGAGTTTTTTTTTTTTTTTACGCGACTACGTAGCTTGAAGCGACTAACTACGCGACTGTGCGTGAAGCGGACAGCCGTTGCATTTTGTATCAGTTTGCTCAGTCGCCAGCATTTCCACTGTAAGTCGTCCTTTACGGACAATAGCTGGTAAATGTTCGGGTCAGAAGTGTTCGGATTGCTGCTGCACCCGACCGGTGTAACAGAGTTCGAACTACATGTCGCTGTATGGACGTCACCGGCCCTCCGGCCACCCGGCCGCGGCCGGTGCTGTGCCCTGTCACCGGCCCTCCGGCCACCCTACCGTGCCCTGTCACCGGACCCCGCGACCGCTCGGCTGATGAGAGGCACCGTCACGTCCCCGGGCGACACGGCGTAACAGCCGTGACGGCCGTGATGGCGGGACGGTGGTGTTTGTTCAGCGGCTCCGAACACCTGCGGGGAGCTCACCAGTCCCCGGCACTAATCTGATCCACAGAGCGGGGCCGACGGTACGATCGATGGCAGCAGCGGAAACTTGCCGTGAATATTTTTAGTCTTACAATGGTCGCTATTGTCGGTGCACCGCTCTACCTTCAGCGAATAGTATTCTACATACTGGTTATCGCTTTCTTTTTTTTCTTTTTTTTTTGCTCGGCCAGCCTAGTGCCAGTCTCGAGCGGTGGGACAGTTAACCCGGCAATTTTGGCCGGGATGCAAAAGTTACGTTAAACCGATTCAGTTTCCCAGTCTACCACTAAAGCTGTTCGATTACACCATCATTATGATACTGATGTGCGCCTGATCGACACAACCATACTGAAGAATAGTATTTGAGTCGTTCAGTGCCGCCGTTCGAGCACAACAGCCACGCACTCAGTCAGTCGGCAGGATACACGACATAGCGTGCTGACGGCGACTGTCTCGGTGTGTTCCAGTGTGTGACCCGGTGATGGGTGACAACGGCAAGATGTACGTACCGGCCGAGCTACTGCCGCTCTACAAGGAGCACATCATACCACTGGCCGACATCCTGACACCCAACCAGTACGAGGCCGAGTGAGTAGAGAGTCGACATCCTGTCACCGAATAAATACGAGAGTGAGTGGGTATGAACGGAGGACACGAACGGGCGGCACTTGAAGGATGTGGCACGGCACCTAAGAGTCCCGATTAGAGGTGGCAAAATGTGGACCCGAGGACCCGGTCCAAAGAACCAGTCTGGACCCATATGGGTCCAAACCGGTTCCTGGAAATTTTCGAACGGGTCCAACCGGGTCCTACCATAAACTATACATCTTGCACACTACACATTATTGCAAAATGTGAAGTGAATGAAGTGAATGTTTCTTTGCACACAGTAGCTCATGAGTATTCCCAGTGGGAAATAGGCTGTTTTACATGATGCAACTGATGATACCTACAAGTGGTTTGCATTAATTGACTTTTGGGGAACGGGTCCAACTGGTTCCGGTTCCAACTAAGACCGGGTCCGACTGGTTCCAGAAATGTCCAGCCGGGTCTGGTTCGAGTCTGGTTTTCCAAAATTTTCATCTTTTGCCACCTCTAGTCCCGATTTTAGGAATGATATCCTGTAAATGTATTGAAAAATCCATATTTAAAAAGAGCGTGTTATTCGGATGAGGATCTCATTCAGTTATTCACATTAGCTATCTCTATTATTGTTACCACTGTCTGAGCGGGATTACTCGATCAAAAACACGGTTTGTGGTCCCCATTGCGCTACCTCGTGGCTCTTTCAGCCCATGTTCACCTGACCTTGTCCCCCGTTCTCCAGGCTGCTGACTGGTCAGAAGATCTCCTGTGAGGAGGACGCTCTGCGTGTCATGGACCAGCTGCACGAGGCCGGGGCGCGAACGGTGGTTCTCTCCAGCACGGACCTCGGCTCGGAGGAGACCCTGGTCGGCCTGGCCAGTATCAAAGACAGTGAGTGCGGGGGTGTGCTGTGGTAGACAGATGAGCGTCGTTTGAAGACAGAACGTAGCTCTAGCCTCTAAGACGGCAGATTATGGCTGTTAGTGTCATTCATATCATCTGGACAGTCGGTGTTGGGTACTCGATTGCGATAACATTCGTTCATTCCGCGTATCTCCCAAGCAAGTCACGTCTGTGATATAAGAAAGTCCTTATTTATATATACCGTCGTATACTATTCGCCTCGTGACTCAGAAGTGGCTGACATCTGGTGGCCGTTTCCTGAACTACTATAGGTAGGATCCGGCGGCCGCTCCGCAGGCAGACCGGCCGGTCTAATCTCACGAGACCTCGGATTTCGAATACTTTTTCTTTCAAAATTGGAAAGCAATGCACATAATTCGACGACAAATTCCTCATAGATCACGAATAATGATTCGCATAGCCCATCATACATCCTTTCACAGTCAAAAGGGCCCTGAACAAAGCGTCCCGTGGCACTTCGTAAGCAGTATTGGTGATCACAACCAATGTTAGGGCGGTAAGGGCGGCCGATAAGGATATTGCAATCCGCCGAAAGAGCAAGGTTCCGGGCACATTGTCTGAACCCTCGCCGTAATGGTTTTCTACGTAGGTAGGTACCGCCCGATGCTTTGGAACCGCCCTGATATCTTAAGAGCATTCATATGCCGGCATAAGACATTCACCTTTTATAGCCCGTCACAGGCCGACGTGGGGCCCTCAGAAATAGGCATGGAGTTCTCGGAAACCTGCATAAGGTCCTCATTGACTACCGTCGGAACTTAAGGACCTGCGAATTGCGATGGGCCCCAAAACGCCACTGTGGAGCCCTCAAAGACCTGTAGATTGTAAACTTCAGAAACCAGCGTGGACCCTCGGGCCTCGGGTGCCGATGTAGAATGATTGGTGCGGGCCAACGGTGAGTTCAGTGCGGGTTTGCTCAACCTTTCAAATGACCTGTTGACCAGTGGGATGGAATGGAACAGACTTACAAAACCAGCTGCTCGAACGGCGCCCGGAAGGCGAAGGGACATGTTCATTTCACATTGCTTTTTGCTAATGATATCTGCATGTCAGGGCCAAAAGGCAGTAGCTAGTAGCCTGAGCACTGAGCAGGGAATGAGGGATGTATTCGGTTCAGAAGGGGCTGATTCTGCTCCCAATGATAGGGGGTTGGATATGTTATCTGTGTAATTCAAACTCAGTTCTGAGTTATCACTTCAGATTCATAAGGCTTCAGAGGGTGGAGCCTTATGACCACTGACACCAAAAATTTGTGACTTTTACATTCTTCCATTCAGTTATCACTTACATATGTGAAAGATAAATGGCCTAAAACTGGCAATGAAAATAACTCAGGGTACCCCAGGCTTGTTGAAGGGAAGGTATGAATGAACACCCGAGGACATCGGATTGCTTCCCTCTCCCAGGTATGTAGTATTCTCACACCATTGATCATATGTTGATGTAGTTCAGGAAACAAAAGAGATAGATGTGCAAATTCAGGCCAGCTGTGAACGTATCATTGATTACAATGCCTCTAATGCCACCAATACTGCACCAACTTCTAAAGCACTGAGCAGAGGTTGTAACTAATAGCACTGGGCAGACCATTTGTCAATTCAATGCTGAGCAAGAAGGTGACTGAGGTAAGGTGCAATGAGCTAAATATGTTCTGTGCTCTGCTGGACACATGTGCAGAATACATGTATCATATTGTGCTGCACCACACATGCCAACAACAGACTTAATTTTAGGTCTAATCCCTTCAGCTACCTCCTCGAAACAAGCAGCCCTCTCAACAGCAAGTGGGTTTTGAGGGTTAGCAGAAAGACTCCTCAGTTCCTTCCTTCCAGGGCTGCAGCCTGCTGCTGGAAGCTGCCTCAGAAACCCTAGCATAGTGGAACAGCTGCTGTTAGCAGTGGCATCGGGTTGGCAGCCATCACTTCTGACTTCCGATTTCGGTCAAATGCCACTAGTTGTAGTCTGAGTCCTGTCTTTTGTACTTGTGTGGTCATGTCATTGTCATACCATGCTACTGCTACAACATGAAAGATTGCATATACACGTTATTGCCTGAAATATATCCATTCTAATAATGGAAACAAGATCATTTAACGAATTGCCATGCGTCTTTGTAAGCTGCTTCAGACTGAGGCCAAAAGTCAAAGGTCATGGCGATTTATATGCAGCCAAATGCTGTATGATATTCACTAGGGATAGCAGGGTAATTTACTCCAAAGGTCAAAAACCCAAAACGTTACATAAAAGGAATCAAAATCGATAATAATCAGCTTCCCCCAACCCCAAAATACATGTTTACCGGTATTCGTAACTCGTGCGCCATATTCGCTATCCTATCTATACGGTTCTACAGTGCTGCCACCTAGCGAGGTGTCACGAGGCGAATTGATTATACTATCGTACCCAAACTTTTAACTTTCCCTTGTCTCTATGTCCGGCAGATGACACCAGTCGCCGTATCCGTATCAACATTCCCCGTCTGCCGGCCTCGTTCACCGGCACGGGGGATCTGTTCGCCGCCTGTCTCCTGGCCTGGATGCACAAGACCAACGGAGACCTGAAGACCTCCTGCCAGAAGACGGTGGCCACCCTGCAGGATGTGCTCAAACGCACCCTGAAACACGCACAAGGTCAGCTGCATTTTTACTCAACAAAGAAGCAGACATGGCAGTTTTATTTCTCGTCGTTCTTTTTCCTTATTTTCGGATAATACTTTCTGTGTGGTCAGCTGAGCCACTCAGACACCTAAACCAAGGTCAAAGATGGATCCATCCAGAGTTTTTGCTTGGTCTGTAAAGAGTTCGTTTGGAATGACTTAGTAAATTGTCTGTTTTTTTTTTTTTTTGGGGGGGGGGGGGTAGGCCCTTTCGGTCTGACGGAGGCCATTTCAGAGCCGGGAGGATGAATTAAGGGGAGACATTGGTCTGGGCGGGCACCCTAGTGAGTCACTGGGGCTGAGCCCGTCGAAAAGGACAGGCCGACCCAGGCCTACCAGTACCAGCCCCCAAGTACTCAAGACTGCACCCGGCTATGGGCGCGCTCCTTTAGTAGCTGCGGTGCGCTCCAATGGGAGCCGCCCGCATGAGATAAAGTTGCCTGTCCAGCCCGGAGCAGGGAAAAGAGGCGGAGAGGAAAGGGATTTGTCTGTCCTGAGGATGGAAAAGAGGTGGAACGGTGGTGACTTGCGTCGTATCGTTATTGGTGTCGTGCCGATGTTTAATTCGCCATCTCTGTGTTCCATGGTTTCCCACCACCCCTAAATGATGTATCCCTCTTGTGACCCGTGTTGTCCGTGCCTCTACCGACAGATCTGGCCGGACCGGACGGAAAGCTCGGGGTGCGCGAGCTCGAGCTGCGACTAGTCCAGAGTCTGGACGACATCAGACAGCCCAAGTCGGACGTCGTCGTCGAGGACATCTAGCGGCCAGGATGTCAACTACAGCTTACACAGGCCACCGCCCTGCCGGACCGCGTCTCGCTATCAAGCCAAAACGTGTGTTGTCGATCAGTGCTTTTGGGATGCGGAGGCCGGGGTGGAGTCAGGCTGTAGGTGTGAGAGAAAGAAGAGCTTCCAGGCATATTTGCCACCAAATATCAAGGATCAATGAAGGCTTGTCGATACACCGGTGGCCGTGAGGTAGTTGTGGAAGTTAAGTCTGCCATAATCACGTAGAACACTTGCCGATGGTGTCCACTAACACATAGTCAATACGTTTGTCCTTGTTCCCGTCGAAGACATTGTGTGTATTTTATGCAATATTTTGTGTGCAATAGGTGGAAGTAGGGTTTGCACCGAGTGATAAAGCTCTAATCAATGAGTCCCGCGCGCTGACGTAGATTGAGTGACGATGTAGCTGATTGAATATTTTACGGAGTGATTTGACTGATTCGGGAGTGAACTGTGGTTGTTGGGTTGCAAAAGATGCGTGGTACATTCCACATCGGCTTACATTATTTCTCAGGTCGCTGCTCATTGTGTCATCGTACTTAATTGATTTTCCGTGGGATTTTTTGTCCTGGGCTGGTTGTGACTGTCCTGGTTAAATATATCGGTGCATGTGTCTCACGGTCTTTGTGAATGCGTCTCACGGCTTGTCCTGTACCATGCGGTACGTACGAGTACTAACTGGTTAGCCAGTGTCAACTTCGTAGGTTTGTTTGAGCTAACTTCATGCAGGTAACAAACCGTTCCGCAATTGACCTATTCACTCACGTATAACAAGCTAAGTTCCTTGCATACCCCTCCCCCCGCCCCTACCGCTCCAGCCAAACGAGGTAGTGGAAGTATAAGCTGTATTTTAGCAACATCAACTTTTATCATCAGTTTATCACCCGTTCAGTGCACAGCTCCGAAGTACGAGGTCACGATTCTTCAACAATGCCACTCGCAGGCGTTAAATCGGCCGACATTTCGAGATGAGAATTTGACGGTGTAACACGCGAGATTCCCGTGAGACTAGTCCGTTACGCAGTTGCAACTTGCATATTAGTACAACTTGATAGATAGACCGTGATGGTTACGAGTGATGAGCCATGAGCGTTGCCAGAGACATAAGTGGACAGAAGTTGTGTGTGATGATCGCTATGGACGGCCGATGTGCAGACAACTACGACAGAGAAAACAATATTCAGACCGAGATAAGAATCAGTGCATGTCAAACTCACGTCTAGGCAAAGGGCAGGTGAGTAGCACATAAGAATATTAAACAATACTGTAGCCTGTTAAGAAGTAAGAAAACATCGGCTGCCCGTCGGCAAAACGTAGCAACAAACAGAGACAACGATACGCGACTGCGAGCGAGGCGCCCCCTGACGAGTGACGAGGTCGAGCGGCGCGGCTGCGCGTCACGTCTGACAATCGCTGCGACTAGCGCGCCTGATCTCAACAGCACTTCCATCATCACAATCTAGACTAGATCAAAAGCTGACGGCCTAGGCGCCATCAAAAGCTCGAAAAGAAACTGGCCTTGCTGTCATCAGAAACAGCCCCGAGTCTGATGGCCAGCCGCCAATAAAAAGGAAACCAAAAATGAAATCGCGATAACCTAGCAAAGAGAAAGTGAGTGGCGGCGCAGAGCGCTGCACCACTGCCGCGTACATCACCGGAGACCGCCTAGTACTCCTCTCCCTCCTCCTCCTCGGCATCGGCAGAGTCGATGCCGACCTCCTCGTAGTCCTTCTCGAGGGCGGCCAGGTCCTCGCGCGCCTCGGAGAACTCGCCCTCCTCCATGCCCTCGCCGACGTACCAGTGCACGAAGGCGCGCTTGGCGTACATCAGGTCGAACTTGTGGTCCAGGCGGGCCCAGGCCTCGGCGATGGCGGTGGTGTTGGACAGCATGCAGACGGCGCGCTGCACCTTGGCCAGGTCGCCGCCGGGCACCACGGTCGGCGGCTGGTAGTTGATGCCGACCTTGAAGCCGGTCGGACACCAGTCGACGAACTGGATGCTGCGCTTGGTCTTGATGGTAGCGATAGCCGCGTTGACGTCCTTGGGCACGACATCACCGCGGTACAGCATGCAGCAGGCCATGTACTTGCCGTGGCGCGGGTCACACTTAACCATCTGGTTGGCCGGCTCGAAGCAGGCGTTGGTGATCTCAGAGACGCTCATCTGCTCGTGAGCTGCCTTGTCTGCCGAGATGATGGGAGCGTAGGTGACCAGCGGGAAGTGGATGCGAGGGTACGGCACCAGGTTGGTCTGGAACTCGGTCAGGTCCACGTTCAGGGCGCCGTCAAAACGCAGCGAGGCCGTGATGGACGAGACGATCTGGCCGATCAGACGGTTCAGGTTGGTGTAGGTCGGGCGCTCGATGTCCAGATTACGCATGCAGATGTCGTAGATGGCCTCGTTGTCGACCATGAAGGCGCAGTCCGAGTGCTCCAGGGTGGTGTGGGTGGTCAAGATGGAGTTGTACGGCTCCACCACGGCCGTGGCCACCTGCGGCGCCGGGTAGACGGCAAACTCCAGCTTCGACTTCTTGCCGTAGTCGACACTGAGACGCTCCATCAGCAGGGCAGTGAAGCCGGAGCCGGTGCCGCCGCCGAACGAGTGGAAGATCAGGAAGCCCTGCAGGCCGGTGCACTGGTCAGCCAGCTTCCTGATGCGGTCCAGCACCTGGTCGACGATCTCTTTGCCGACCGTGTAGTGGCCGCGCGCGTAGTTGTTGGCCGCATCCTCCTTTCCGGTGATCATCTGTTCCGGGTGGAACAGCTGTCTGTACGGTCCAGTGCGGATCTCATCTGGTGGACAGCCGGCCAGTGTTCGGTTACAGACAGTCGGTGTGCATGGGGCGGTACAGCAGACCGCCAGGCGGCCAGGTAGTTAACAGGCGGAGGTCGACACGAGGGTCGATGGAAATCGATGGACCCGGCGCCAGACTAACAGAATAACCCGGAGCCCCGTGGCGTTCACTGCGCACATAGGTTATTTATTCCACACAGCATTTATGTATTATACAGCGCTTCGGCTGCAGGTGCTTTACGTCTAAATAACATAGCAAGAAATAACTAGGGAGCGTATGAAATACCTAAACCGGAGCACAACACCATTTTTTTAGGGTTGCCGATCGACAGTTGTGCGAGGTGATAGTAAGCGAGGATTAGCCCAATTCTTTCCAAAAATTACCGAACATGACGGCATCAAGTTATATGTCTCTATTATAGGTCTCTATCAACTATGTATAGGTCTCTAACATTCAGGAATTTTCGTTTATTTGAAAGCTACGAGTAAACCTGCTGACACACTGTACTTATACAACCTTTGTCTCAATCTCTCTAAAAACATATTTCTTAAACGCCCTTTCTATGAGGGCATGGGCGAATTCCGTTAGGGGAACGCCCACACTCCCTGCCCACTGTATCCTTGACCCCACCCACCGATAACGGACGGCTCCAGGTCGACGAACACGGCACGGGGCACGTGCTTGCCCGATCCGGTCTCTGAGAAGAATGTGCTGAAGCTGTCGTCACCGCCAGCGGCCACCTTGTCTGCCGGCATCTGGCCGTCGGGCTGGATGCCGTGCTCGAGGCAGTAGAGCTCCCAGCAGGCGTTGCCCATCTGGACACCGGCCTGGCCCACATGGACGGAGATGCACTCGCGCTGAAACAAAAAATCACTTATAATACTTGTCTGGGTGTCTGGGCGGAAATTGTTTATGTGTATCGTCTCTCTTGAAAGTATCTATCGCGTCTCTTAAGTATCGTTATCGCTCCCTAGTTTGAGACTTGAGAGCCCCTAGTTTTTATAGGGCTGGCCGCCCAGCCGACCCGTGAAACCATGAAAACGGTACGGGAAGCCAGGCGGCCAACCTTCAAAAGCCAGGGGCTCTCAAATCAGAAAGCGATACTTTTGTGACGCAATACTCTCAAGTGAGACTACACCCGCTGAGCACTACACACTAGCAGGTTCACTCTTCTGGTACTTGTTCTGACCTACCAGTCGGGTGACAGCATCCCTAATCCCGACATAACTGCTTAATGCTTATGTGGTCTAGAATAAGCATTCACACCTCCTCTCAGTCTGTGCTGCTCACAGCACCTCCAAATCACAGCTCGTACGAGGGTGGCCAAACAGTTGGCTGACACAGCTACTTTTGGGCCAATAGCATTTGACTAGCCATGGTTTAACGGTGAGCCGCAAAATGGCATGAACATCCTACAAGCACTGATTTTATACAATAAGATCCTTCCAAGTCATATTGAAATTTGTCTTAGAACTATAATATACATACATGCCAAGTTACCAACAACAAATGAACCACTTTAATACTTTTGTGTTGAAAATGGGAGCCGAGGTCCAAATGGATCTTCAAGGATGAATTTTGTCTGTCTGTTATCCTCTGTCCTAATGCTGCCTAGTGCCGTTTGATGAAAAAATCAAAATGCAATGATAATCAATCATGGTGAGGTCACCTGATCAACCTAATCCGAACAAATTAGACCCATGATGTATTGAATGGTCGGTTTTGCCATGATTAAATAATTAAATATGATGATGAAATTGACCAATAACATGGCAGTGATATGTATTTTATGGGCCTGTTCCAGCGCCTCCAGAAACCTCCAGAAAGCTCCAGAAAGCTCTAGAATCCTCCAGAGAGCGTTCCAGCGCCTCCAGAAAGCTCCAGAAAGCTCTCGCCAAAGCTCCAGAAACCTCCAGTAGCCTCCAGAGAGTTGAGAGGTCCAAATTTCTCTGGAGGCTCTGGTCTACAATTATGGTGCACATGTGACAATCACGAATGTAAACAAAGGACATTTGACTGATTATTTTACAACTTGAATGTAAAGAAAATTACATTGCTATAATTTTATTTATCTTTTTAACTAAAATTGAAAACAAATTTTGCGTTTCAAGAGAGAACAATCGTCATTCTTTTGGTATCTATGACGCCAATCTCCAGAAATCTCCAGATTGCGTTCCAGCGCCTCCAGTAAAACCTCTGGTAGAGCCTCCAGTCAAGAATTTCTTCTGGAGGCGCTGGAACAGGCCCTATATAACAAAATAACCCGATGATGTCGTAAGACGAAAGCTCGTTCTATATTTTCGGCCTTATTTTGTTATATAAAATACATATCACTGCCATGTTATTGGTCAATTTCATCATCATATTTAAAATAGACCCAGCCTAATCTAACAGGCCCTAGCAAAACCTAGCCATGTATTTTAACCTAAATCAATCTTACCTGAACCCACACCCACCTAACACCTCTGACAGAACTCAGAAGACTAGGCTGGGTTCAGAGGTTATTTAGGCTGGGTCAGCCCAGGTGACCTCTCCTCAATGGATTATCATATTTGCTGCACTTACAAGTAACAAACAGTTTCTTAATCATTGTGGAAAACATAGAAAGGAACAAAATTTATCCTAACTCATTAAAAAAAAAAACATTTTGACTTCAGTTTCAGTAATAGGTAGAAGGTACCCTTTCTTTTAACTACCCACCTATTGCTTAAGTATTGTGAGAAGTGAGAACAGCAAACACTGACACACACACACACATACAATGTCTTTAAGCTCTTCTATCCTCCTCCCATTTCAAATAATGTTCCTATTGCTCCTCAAAGCTGATCTCAATCTCACTGCTCCTCCCTCATCCAAAAAAGTAAGTTTCATAGAAAAGGCTTAAGTAGATATATTAGTGTACAAGATACCAGTTAGTACCTCTGAAGTGATAAACAGGGATGATCCTTCAGCCTTCAGCTTCAATTGAAGCTTACATATTTTGAAAAGAAATTTTTATTTTTATCTCATAATATTGATGGCCATTAAACATCCACTGTATGGCCAGCAAAGAGCTGATTATCTCTCAGAAATATTCCTGTGGCAGTCTGAAATCAACCCTCTAGTAGACTAGTATACTCGTTCAAACAATTCCGTTGTGGGGGGGGGGGGGGGGGGAGGTGGCACGAGCAGACCCTTTGTCTCTTTCACAGGTCAGGTCCTGTCACTTGTCAGGTAAGTGTTGGGGTGAAATGGGCAGTCTGAACCCTAGAATCATTCATGATTTCCTGCAATACCTGTAGATAGAGCATCAAATAAAATAAAATGGACTTGAAAACAGAGTTCTCCCCTAGTCACGATTGCTTCAGGTTGTCGTTTCAACCACCTTTTCTCAAAGTGTGTCAAAAGTGGAAATAGCCGCCCGGCTTTAGTTCGCCAGCCTTGTCAATAGATGGCAGGACCACAATATGGGCAGCGGATCGTGCAATTGACGTCAAAATTTCGTTATCTGCTAAGAATTGAATGGCGGATCTTTTCATGCAAGAATCAAGTAAATCGGTCCACAACTTTTCTAGCAACAGAGATATGAAGTCAAACACCCTGCCAGAGCGGCGGAGCGGCGGCCGGCGGCCCGCGGCGGCCGTTACGCGCCGCCTGGGAGACTGGCGGCGCTGAGCGGTTCCGAATTGGCACTGCACTAAAACCTGTTAACTGCTTGGAATAGTTATTATAGCAAAATTTTCATTCAAGTGAGGAATAACCAAGGGCAGGAAGTATGTATGCTTGTGTGCGTACTGTGTAAGCCAAGAAGCTGCATTAGCAGATACTCGCTAATATTAGATCCAGCCAAGTCCAAACGCATTCCAGGGAATGTGTTTCTGATGGGTGAACAATATTTATCGTTCGATGGCGGATACAGTTTTAACAATACAAAAAATATTTTTGCACAGCTCTATTCCTTGAATAATTCTCTTCAACGCCTCATTCCTAGTTAAGCGAATTAGCCCACCCTGGCTGAATAAATAAGGCGATTTCGCCACAAGGTCGCGAAAAACCGACGGAAAACGGCCGCGCTCAACGTTAATTTGGGCATGCAGACTCTTAAAAACTCGCATTGGGCGGGTAGGGTTTCCCAGGTATTGGCTCCAAAACACCGTATTCGGCTCCTGAATACGTCCAAGTGACCCGCCTCGTTCCTAGTTAAGCTCTAATTAGATCAAGTGACTCATAAGGAGCGAAAAAGCGACAAAAAGCATGAATTTCCCTATGGCGGCGGGCTGCCGGGTTGCCAGACGGCGCACCGGCTATTTCCACTTTTGACACACCATGTGATGGAAAAAATATGAATAACAAGAAACGGTATATGGCTAGTTTAGGTCCTAACTACAATTGTGACACTGTTGATACAAATATGTAACAGCAAAAATTTTATGCATTAGGTTAGGTTAGGTTGTAGGTTTTAGGTTGTAGGTAGGTAGGTTTGTAGGTTTTAGGTCGTTAGGCTGTAGGTTTTTAAGTAGGTAGTAGGTTGGTAGGTTATAGGTAAATAGGTAAGGTTAGGTCAGAGGGGTGTTCACGGGCACCGCACACTGCTGCGTGCGCTGTGTGCGGTACGTCCAGCAGGCGTGGGGGTAGGGGATGGGTAGGCGGCTCTGACGTCACGGCTGCGTGCGGTGGACGGTCCGCTGTGGCCAGTCCCGACCGGCCACAGCGATCGCTGTGTGCGGTGACGGAAGGCTGACGTAGGGACGCGGTGGGCGGAGCTTCGAGGCTGTGTGCGGTCCGACCGCACACAGGGTCCGTGAACAGCCCTCAGGTTTGATTGCTTTTTCTTTTATTTGCAAGACATATAAGTATCATTTCTGGATTCAGGATGCCAAATGTATGAATGTGAAAAAAGTATCCATGAAATCTGCTTAGGACTCAATTTTTGTGTTATGAGGTTATCGGTGGAGCCAACAAATAACTAAATGCACTTACTTTTATTAAATAAAAGTAAAGTAATAAAAGTAAGTGAATTTAGTTATTTGTTGGCTCCACCGATAACCTCATAACACAAATATGTCCCTAAATAATTAGGACTTAATTTTGACATTTACCCAAGAAACCAACATGAACATTAAAAAACAAGGCAAAGAAGCAAAGAATTGGATGCCAAAATGCTTTTCATAAAAATCCTAGAGCACCTAGCATCACTAAGCAAACCAAAGGTATACCTATAGGGCCTTGAAGCAAACATAGTTGAAGTAACATGAAGAGCAATTGCTTACCATTTTGGTGAGTGGCAAAAACGAGTGCGGGCAAAAACAGTGCAACTGTCCAACGGAGTCCTGCTACACTTCACAGCTCGGGACTTCAGCGACCACAGTGCAAACGGCGCCTCGGGAAAGAGAACGGCAGGCTTCCGGCGGAGGCGCGCGCGCGATCCCACGACCACGCCCCCACACACGTGTAACGGACGCGTCAAAATTGTCTCTGGCTTCAAGCCGCTAATAAACTGCCAAGGTTTTAGTTATACTGATGACGTCATAGTAGTGAACCATTCAAATTACGAAATTACAAAATTCAAATTACAAAAATAATGGGTGAAATTTTGCAAAAAGCCACTAATTAAATCCCGCTAACTTTGTTCCTATGATGTAGGTGAAATGCGATTGCCAATGATGGGGTGTGCCTGGTGCTTGCATGGTGCCAATGTGGGCGTGGCGTGGCCAAGATCGCCGAGACCAAGGCCGTATAAGTTGCCGAGACTCATCGATGGGCGCGGCGGGCGTGGCCAATGTTCCTATGGGAAACGGCGTTGCTTTCGTCTTTCGATATGGTTGACACCGTTTCGTCATTTACGTCCTCAGGACATTCAAATCCTTCTCCTCCAGGCTCCAAGTTCTAATCCCCCTTTTTCGGGCTGGACGGGGCACGGGCAACTTCATCCCATCCGCGAGTGCCCGATAAGAGCACGCCCGTAGCCGGGTGCGGTGAGTGCGGGTCGGGGGAGGGGGCTGGTCGGCCTGTCCTCTGGACCCTCTGGACGGCCTTGCTCTGGACGGGCTCAGCCCCGCCCCGGCGACTCACCAGGGTGCTCGCCCAGAAGGAAGAGATAGCTCGCTATCAGATCTTTCAGAACGACAAAGGTCATTTTTCGATCAGGTCATCGCTGAGGTCACTAGAGTCCGGAGGTCTCCAAAAGTAGAATTATTATGTATTCTGGTTCCCGATTTTGACAACCTTCCACAAATCGGCGCATTATTCGGGAATTCAGATAGCTATAGCGTCGTGGAAAAGCGCATCCGATAGCTCTTTTCCTCGGCTCTTACAAAGCTTTTTCTAAATACCTACGTTTTTATCAGATTTTACGTAAGATCAGTGGTTTAACCTCCAGAGGTCAAATACTCAAAATTGGACGTTTTTGCGTAAAACGTTTTTCTGTGGTAATAACTTCTGACACCAGTCTTGCAGCAGCCAGTGCGTATATTTTACCGGCACCGCGTCTCTCTCGTCAAGACGCGTCGAATGAACTACATATATAAGTTCGCGTGAAAACGTCGACTTAAAAATTTGACCTCAGGGCAAGGTGACAGAAAACGTCAGATGCATAGGTATTATCTAATCGATTCATATCGTTGAGCTGAACACATCCATGGGTGTTTCCAGCGCTCTAGCATGTTTCCATCTTAAGTTGTCAAAAACTGCTGGAAACGTTTCATAACCTGAGATTCAAATGACCTCAGTCAGGGGCTTACAAAGAGTCACGGGTGCAATTTTCCGATTCAGTGTGTCATGTTTACCCGATCCCGATGTTTGGAAGTGTTCCTGTGCAAATGACGAGCATTTCAATTTTCTCCCCATGACTGATCAGCCCAATGGAGAAATGGAGAGGTCGCGAAATTGATCTGACCTTAGGTCACCGATATCAAAATTCCGAGAGACGCTAAGCGGCTAATTGTTGGTACTGGTTCCCTCAAGCAAAAGCCTGAGTCTCAATTTCTGGGATGTTACCTCTATAAAAATGACAGAATCGCAATTTTGTATCGAGACATTGTCACCACTTGACCTGGTGACCTGACCTTATGTGACCTAGCTGGGGTAAACAATTCGCACACGATGCGAAATTGATGTATCATAATCTATACGAAGTTTCGCGACGCTGTACCTACGCCGCGGTTTTCTTAACACGCAAAAAAAAACTGGAAGGTGTGACCAAAACAATCCTACTTCACCCACCCGGGCGAAGGTGCACAGTCTCCGATAACAACAGTTTTACACAACACTTTATTTGGCACAATCGGCACTATTTGTCACAAACAGCTACACGTGGTCTATGTGGCAGCCCACGGGTTACAGAGCACACATCCCGGTCATGATATGCACCTCTCAGAACACAAAAATACACCTCGGCGGACCAGCCGTCCCTGTCACCCGCGGCGCCTCAGCGCCCGTACCGCAGCCCTGCCAGTTTACGTACGATATGATCTCATGGATGACGCCGGCTCACTGGAAACATCCCAGCGGCGCCGGTGACCGGTCAGACACAGCCGGCACAGCTGCCGACGTCACAGCAACATCAGCAGCATGACGACTGTCCCACATTAACACTATGACCGTCAGCGAACAGAGGCGGGCCGATCGCCGCCGGACCGGACCGGACCGGCCCGGTCGCGGCCGGCTGACCTCTCAGGAGCACCGGGCCCGCGACCCAGCGGACGGCGGCCGTATCACAAGGAGTGCCGGCGCGGCCGGCAGCCTCCACCGGAACCGGTGGAGCTCGGTGGAGCGGCGCCGGCTACAGCAGCTGGTCGTCGGCCACCGGGTGGAGCAGAGACATGTGCTCCGCGCCGCGGATCGGAAGCTTGGTCAGCGAGTAGTGCTGGATCATCTGCGGTATCGACTCGAACGGCTTGCTGAACTGGCCCAGGATGTACTTGCCGCTGCTCTGGTCCTGGCGGATCTTCATGTGCATGAAGCCGCGGGCAGACCTGAAACGCAGAGGGAATGACCGGTTAATTGTGTTTGGCGCGCCTCTGGATCGTAGCTGCTTATGGTGTTGGGTGTCTAATATAATTAAATTGAATATAGAAAGGGCTTTACAGTCTACAAGCCAAGTTAAAGTCAAGGCTAGTGTTAAACGCAAATAGGTAGGTAGGTACGCATTAAAATCATACGATAAAGGGAAAATGAACTATTCTTCAGAATTTAATAAAAGCATAAGCGTCAAACAGCGCGTTTCTAACAGCGTCGAAATAAAGAGACCTTCGTTGAAAATACATGTCATATCACATCGTCTTATTCTTAATTTCCTTAGAACTCATAATTATTTCAGCATAGCTGCAAATGAGCGGAAACAAGTATGCCTTGAAAATAATCCTTCATCACATGTCTCACTTCAAAAGTCATTCTAAGAGCCCAGCGAGAGCGTAGCGGTCTCGCGAGCGACTTTGTGCTTTGCGGCACAGCATGCATTCAGGCGCTGACTTTTACTGCCATCTAGCGGTGGGAGCAGAACAACTCGGCTGTTCGGCGGTGCAGCCTACTTTCAGGCATGTCTCTGCGCGCCATCTAGGGACCGGGATGCAAGTTTATTATTTGCGGTACGGCTAACGTGAATCACTTCATCCGTGTGGCATATCACGAACTGCGAGACGAGCTGACGAGTGAAATACAATTGGTGGGCTATTTTAAAATGATAAGTAAAGAAAATAAGACGTAGATATTCGCGATCTGTGAATTCCGTTCACAATAAGAACAGTGGCAGCGCATAAACAAGATTTTGACATATATATTTTGCCTTTTGTAAAAAAATTATACGTGCAAGTGATTCTGATTGTGAAAGGTCAGTTTGATGCAGTCTTACATTGCTGGTTCATTCAAATCAACATTGATAGTAGAAAGCCCATTACTCTCCTCTAATATAACTGAAACGTGTGATTGTCGTCAATTTGCAGCGTCGTTTTTCCACTCTCTCGCCACTCACTTCAGAGAGAGCGAGTAGTCCTGGCGGCTGGACTCGCAGATCCGCACCAGGTAGCTGCCCTCGCGCTCCGAGCGTAGCGTCTTCTCCGCCTCCACACGCGTTATGGCCCCGTGATACCACCTGAGACATACAAAAGCCAGTTAGTACCTACACAGCAATCGACACTTGAACTTCGAAGTAAAGCAATCGGCATAAAGCGCCTATGTGAAGAGTAGAAAGAGCGGGCACATGTTATAGGTACCGCTACGACTTTGCGAAAACCTTGGTCTGTGAAGTGTCTATGTAACTAAGTGTAACATAACTTTTATCCATGATTTATTTATGGTACACACCTCATTAGGTACTGCATCACATTTCTGAGATTCCTTGCATGAGTTTATTCAGCCATTCCCGACACCGGTGACCACATGACGTCCGTTCCGGCAGCCCAGTCTCAGTACGTGTATTGAGCGTCCTCCCGGGAAGGGTGGTTCCGTGAGCCGGACACCACCAGACGGTACGTCATTACCACGGCCCTGAGGTCACGGAAGGGGGCAGCGCCGGGGGTCGGACAGAGGGGGGGGGGGGGGTAGGATGACTCACCGCTGCTGCTGAAACGGTACACTCAGATCGATTCGCTCGCCGGCCGCGTTGGAGGCGCAGCCCAGACTGAGCGACATGGCCGGCCGGCGGGGCGCCGCGTCTGCCGCGGACGAGGCAGTCTCGCCGCGGTCCAGACTCAGGCTGAGGGCGGGACGAGCGGCGGCCGGCTCCGGCACTGCAAACAAGAGGGGGCGATTAGAGGATTGGACGCGTCTGGGAGTACGGACGGAGGCTGGAGACGGCCTCAGACAATACAGTGCAGTGTGTAGATGCTATGACGAGTGTCGATGTCTATGTAATAGGCCAATGCAAACGATCATAAAAACGTATGATTTCGTTTAAACTGATCTTGGGTTTCTAATAAATTAGCCCATCAAATATTTCAGGGATTAGGACCAAAGCCGTTTGGAGATAAGTAATTTTTCTCAAAGGCTCGGATGGTCGGACATGCAAGAGTAACTCCTTTATGCTTTCACTAATTGCACATGACATCGCATCATGTTAGGTCACACAAGCACGAAAATAGACTGCCTTCCCGAAGAGTAAGCCTCACCAGTACCGCATACACAGTCAGTGTCAACTCACCGTTGAGCGTGCCCAGAGATGGCGCTGCCGGCGGCGGTGCCAGCGTGCTCTGCGGGGAGCACAGGCTAGCGGCCGCCCTCCGGCGCAGTTTGGGCATGTCGAACGGCAGTTGAGAGGCCGCCTCTCCGCCGTGAGAGTCCACGCTGATGCCGCTGTCCGAGCCGTGCAGGCCACAGCGCAGTCGGGGTCGCGACGGCGGCTCCCAGGCAGTCGGCCGCTGCTGTGGGCTCTCGGCCCCCGCCCCCGCTCCGGCCGCCGCCGTCGCGCCGGGCGCCGCCGGACTGTCCAGCTCCTGAGATTTGTCCGAGATGGGCGACAGCACAGGCAGTTTGGCGGTGGCCAGCCGCCGGTAGAGGTCGGCAGACAGGTGTGACCGTGAGAGCGAGTCGCCGCGCCCGGTCGAGTCGCTGTCGCCGCTGGAGCTGCGCAGACTCTCCAGGCTGGACAGCGTGCTACTGCCGCTGCCGCTGTGCCGAGTCCCCGAGTCTCCGGCGAACAGCAGTCGCGACGTCTGCCGCTCGCTGCCGTTGGTTCCACCTCCCACCTCCAGACACTCGTATCTGTGTCCGAGCGTGCCGGCCTGGTCCGAGCACAGACTGCGCGGCCGGCCCGCCGAGCGGAGTACGCCGCGCTCCGGCCGTACGGGTGCCGGCCGCGGCCCACTCTCTGACAAACAGTGGTCCGGGGAGCCCCACAGACCCACAAACTCAGTCCTGGCCGCGCGGCCCGGCCTGGCCGGCGGCGAGTCAGCCGGCGGCGCGGCGTGTACATCGGCGCGCACCTCCGACCGCGCCTCCTCGCGAGAGTCCACAGGGCCGCGCGGTGCCGCCGGCGACTCTGGCCACGCGTCTGTCGGCGAGGCGCCGTTGGAGCAGCGTCCGGGTCGAGCTCTCGGCGGCCGCAGCTCGGGCCGCGGCGGCTCGCGGCGCGGCGCGGCCGCCAGGCGCGCCAGCTCGTCAGGGTCGGGCGCCGGCGGCCGGGCCGTGCTGTCGAACGCCGTCTCATAGAGACGGCGGCTCATCTCCGTCTCATCGCGGCGCGGCTCCCCGCCAGCGCGCCGCTCGAGCTGCACGATCGGGTCGACGGCGTTCACGTAGATGGCGTCGTCGTCGGCAGCGCGGCCGCGCAGGTCCTCGCAGCTGCGGCTGAGGCTGGACGCTGCGCGGCGCTCGGACGCCGGCCGGTGGCGCCGCTTCTTTCCCACCACCAGCTCACCGGGCCGGTACCGGTGCGGGCTGGCCAGCGGCGCCGGCCACTGGCGCACGTTCTCGTACACGGGCGCGTCGTCCGCCTCCTGGCCGTCGGCCTCTCCGTCCACCTCCCGTGGTGCCGGGGGCGGCGGCGGCGGGTCGGCCGGGCCTCGCGGCGGAGACCGTCGGCACAGCGGTCGGTCGGAGGGGCTCAGAGAGGGCTCCGGTCCCGAGTAGAGCGGGTCCGGCCGGCGAACCACCACCGATGTGCCCTGAGGGCTGACCTCGTCATATAAACTTCCATCGTCGAAGGTCGGCAGAGAAACTGAAACAGACAGAGAAATCAGTCAAAACGGCGAAAAGTACACGAGAAAGCTATCAACAGTATATAAGTATATAAGGAAATGTTGTAACGATTGCGGCTGAAAAGCTTGTATTGAAAACTCATCGAACGTCTCTTCAACACTAAACGAGCCAAATTAAGCGTGTTGCAACTATTTTCCGCTAGAGTCTATTTAACGCAACGATAACATCAAAACGTTATCAAATCCAGCCCTGAGTTTTCTGAGCTCACAGCCACAGACTTCTCTTCTCTATATATAGAGAAGTCTGTGTCACAGCCTATCTGGTCGGTCTGTGACCTCAGCTGAGACCTGGTCGCTGACCTCCGACCGGGCTGACCTCTGCCCGGTCGATACCCGATCACAGGCCGGCCTCTAAAAGTGGCTCAGATCCGAGTGTGGTCGCTGCCGCGGCTGCTGTCCAACAGCCGGCTATAAGTCACCGCGCGCGACTGAGCGCCTTTGAGCCATACTCCCCCAGCAGGCCGGTCAATCATAAGACAGCAGCACAGAGCCATCTGTACACGGACCTGAATAGCTAGCTGGAGAAGGCTGCAGAGGGCGCCCGTGCGATAAATGCCTGACACAAGCCGAGGGGATTCGAGGGCAACGAACGGCAGGCTTTGGAGATTCAGTGGATTGCGAGACCCATTTTCAATGAGAAATTGAGTGCAAAATACACCTTACATCGCCAGCTTTGGAGACTATGGACGTAGCGGAGAGACCAGACACCTTAACTTACATTTGTGCTTGTTGATGGTCGTTTTAGAGGAACGTCCCGGTTCATGCGGGTAAATAAAGACGAAGATAGGAAGATGGGTATACAAACACTTACAACATTCCCCAAGAAGACTTAGGGAGGCTTGATAAGCGTTTTCTGTTTGAGATTAGCCTCGATAGAGATGGCCGGAAACAAGCTCTTTGCCGGGATATTATCAGGATGAGCGTGCCTGCGGTCAGACAAACGTAAAAAGCAAAAACCAACCCTATATTGCACTCGTTGCGGGAACAAACGAGCACACTAGGACTCTCCAATATACCCGCGAGATACCTAGCCCACATCTGAGACGACCAGCATTGCCCGGCTCATTGAGACGGCGTCGGCCAACCGATACCACCATCTCCCACTGATTAGCTTTGTTTCCGCACTGTCGGACAATGACCGACCACTGCAGCTACCTGAGATGGTCACGTGTGTGCAACAACTCGCGCTGGTGCGCTACTGTATCCACAGTATAAGGTCGCTGTTTCTTATGCATCAGCAGTCACCGTCTCCAGTGCAATTATTGTCTCGTCTCTCGCACTGCCGCCGTCTCGGTCTCCATCTCTACGTACGTAACCGTCTCCGTCTTCGCCTCCGTCTCCAGCTCCGTCCATGTCCCCGTCTCCGCCCGTCTCCGTGTCAGTCTCGGTCTGTTTCAGTCCCTACCTCTGTCTCCGTCTCCTTTCCCGTTCCTCCGTTTATCTAAACCTCTGTCGTCTCTGAGCATCTGAGTCGGCTGAGGCTACGTCTCCAATTCCGTATCTGTATGTCTCCGTCTCCGTCTCTGTCCCGAGGAGACACAGCTCATAGCTAGCTGACGAATCTCCCGGTAAGCCGGACAAATGTGGCTCGGTATGCTGATGGATGTCCCACGATAAGCGGCCACAAGTCCTCCACCGGCCGACAAATGACCGCTCGTATACCAGCGCCTGTCGGGGGATGACGCTTCTCCTCTTATGGAAGGCATTTTCACCCGTCAAGGATTGTCGGCAGACACCTCAAAATATGACTTGCACATACGTCAACTAATGCCTCATTGTTCAGCGTTTCAGCGTATAGTGAAGAACATAGTGTACATACTTCATAGTGAAATACTATGAAATATTTGTTGCGGTGATAAAAATAAGCAACTTCTTGCTTGTTCAATCCAGGTTCTGAGTCATGAATGCTGAGTTTCAGATAAAAGTGAATCGCAGATCAACTTATCTTTTAATTTAGCCAAAAATTTTAGATGATAGCTGAAAGCATCACACCGTCTAAGCAAGAACAATTATAGTTTAGAATACTAGCCAACCGATTGACATCCATCGGCAGGACATGGCCCACATCAGCAGCCCGAGTAACACCGACGTTCTGCCGGGCCGGGCCGGCGTCCGGGGGGCATTAGCGGGCTCATCGGACCGAGAAGGGCAGCATTAGTCCTCTGATCCAGCGCCGGCAGGCGTCAGCAGGCCCCGGCTGGCCCCATCAGAGCCGCGGCCGCTCTCCCGGCCCGCGCCGAGCCGCCGACAAGCGCCCACCACCATCGATTGGAGAAGCCATAAAGCTCTCACCCGCTCAGTGACCACGGAGGAGCGCCGGCCCGCCGGTGATTGTGGACACGCCGCTCCTCAGATGGCTCTGAAACGGCCGCCGATACTGGCCGCGGCGGGAGTCCACCAGAATCGGGCGGAGTCGGAAACGGACGACCAGGGTTGGTCTGGTGTCCGAAAATAGGCTTCTCGCTGACGTCCTGTTTCTGTTTTCCGTCTGACGGCACTATTCACTTCTCGCTATCCGCCGTCCACCGTCCACCGTTCACCGCCCAACGCCCACAGTTTACCGTCCACCATCCACCGTCTACCGTCCGCCGTCCACCGTCTTCTATCGGGTCACAAAGGCAAGTCGACAGCAGCTTCAGTTTCCAGACTTTTCTTCCTCCAAAGCCGCTCTTTCCGCGGGAATTTTACCGTTCACAGGCGCCGGTTATGATCCCTTCATCTGGCGGAGGATTCCCTCCACGACGGCCAAAGTGTCGTCGACGCGATGACCACGATCATGACCGCACCGGCTCGCCGGGGGTACTAAAGCGGCAACAGACCGACGTCCATCTACGGCCATGAAAATGGCCCCGGCCGAGCCCACTTCGACTAGAATAAAACTGCTCCAAAAGACAGCTGTTGCGATCATTTTCGCTTGACAGAGGCAATCTAAGTGAAATAATTTTGCTGCCAAACGATATCTATATCATCATTAATGGCCGCGGTGAAAAGGCAAGGCAGTCTCTTGGCGCCTTTGACACCGGGTTCAGTAGCCGAAAATATGACTGAAACCGTTATATCGACACGAGCTCATGTCCTGACTTGTGCCACAATCAGATGACAAACCGTCAGCCTCAGCGGTGGCAGTGGTAGCAACAAAAGCTCCCAGCTTCCTCCCGACCACCCGCGGGCGAGGTGGCACCGTCAGCCCCACAGCTCCTGCTCATCAATATCGCTCCGGGAGTCCAGACTCGGCTGTCCCCGCCACTGACACGTCGATCGGAGACCCATGCAGTAGGGCCCAGACGAGCCATTCAGCGGACCACCGACCGCTTTCATACGAGCAAGGCGGCTTAGCTGGCTGTCGGAGCTGCGCATAGAGACAGATGCGGTCTTAGGAGGGCCGACTGCCGAGTGGATATATATGGGGATCGGTGGCCATTGGCCAAGACGCAGCGCTAGATGCCTGATGTGGATGCCTCATATAGATAAAAAGTGCTTGTTACAGTAATGACATCTCCAATATTGCAAAGCTTCGTATATGTAGATAATCATAGGCTTAGCGAAATACTAAGGCCGAGCAAAGCAAGAGGAAAGCGATCTGGAATAACATCGCTGTACCAGCGCCTCCTGGGTATTAGCGTCTGGGTAGACCAGCGGGCGCCGTTCCATAATCATGCAGGGGCCATATTCCCAGCCTTCGCTCGCTCTCCGAGCGGCGCCGGCCACCTCCGGTGTCGTTAGCTCGCAGATAGCGCGGCTCAATTTTGGGCGCATGGCAGAAGGGAGCCGCGGCCGAGGCGCCGAAGACGGGGCCATTCCGGAGAGGTCACTGCTGACTGGAGATGAGGGCGCCGGCTGAACAGCTGCTGAACCAGCCGCAGCGGTCAGCTGAGTTCAGAGACGGCTGTATTGTATTGTATTGTATTGTATTAAACATCCGTAGAGCATCCGCGATAACCGAGGCTAAATTGCTCAGTGTCAAACGCTTACATAAAACACATAAAACGAACGAATGGGGAGGTATAACACGCATTCAAAACATGCACACGATCATCTGCGCTTAGTCCATCACATCTGCACCGCCACCCCGTAACAGGTGGCGCTTCAATCCTCCGCAGAACGGTCCGACCGCGCGTTCGGTCAGGGCAGGAGGGAGCGCGTTGTAAGCCACCGCGGCGCGGTATGCGAAGCGCCTTTGACCGCACGCCTTCCTACAGCGGGGTGCGCGGAGCGCCTCGTCCTGCCGCGTCAGTCGGTCACGCACATCATGACAACGCCGAAACATACCCGCCAGCTCATCGGGCTCGCCATGCCTCTGGACTTTGTGGGCCAACATCAGTGTGTGATATCGGACTAGATCAGGTGCCGATAACCACCCCAGCTCTCTCTGCACGTCAGATATGTGGTCAAACTTTTTTCGCCCCGAGATCACTCTGGCTGAGAAATTTAGAACCTTTTGAATTCTGTCCAGGTTCTTAAGGGTACCGTTTCCGTAAACAGATAAACAGTATCTAACGTGAGAGAGAACCAGGGCGGAGACGAGGGTCGACAGTTCAGATTCGGGTAGATAATGTCGCAGGTGTAAAAGGCCAGTCAGCATTCCGTTGCAGCGGCGAGTGATCAGCGAGATGTGGCGGTCCCATGTAAGGTGCCGATCGAAGATCAAACCGAGGTTTTTCACCTCTGTACAAGGTTGGAGAATTTCTCCACGAAAACTAACCGATACTTTACTGGTGGGCAAATTTTGCAAGTTTTGATGACTGCCAAACATGATAAGCTGGGTTTTTTTGGCGTTGACCTTCAGTGAATTTGCTCTGAACCAGACGTCTAAAGCAGACAGGGCAGTCTCTAAGCGATTTTTCAGAGCCGGAAGGGCGGACTTTTTTCCGCTGACGAGCACTTGGGTGTCGTCAGCGTACTGAATGACGTCTGAAGATGCTGAGAAGAGGCTAAGATCATTGGAAAATAGACAGTAGAGAAGAGGTCCGAGAGAAGATCCTTGAAAAACGCCAACTTGATTTGGAAGTGATTTCGAGACATGTTTCACACAGGCTTTGTCAGTGAAGCTGACTTTTTGGGTATGACCAGAAAGATAGGCAGCAAACCAGTCGGTGTTGACACCGTACTGGCTTAGTTTTGTCAGGAGAATCGAATGGTCAATTACGTCAAAACACTTCGAAAGATCAATTAAACAAAGTAAAGATATCTCGCCCTGGTCGGAAGCTGAAAGGATGCGATCGGTGACTGAGATCAGTGCCGTCTCTGTTGAATGTCGGGGACGAAAACCGTGCTGGGTAGGAGAAAGGAGGTGGTTTCTTGACAGATAATAATAGAGCTGTCGCTGGACCACACGCTCTACTATTTTGGCAAGGACTGGAACAATGGATATAGGTCGAAAATTGGATGGGATGGAAGGGTCGCCGGATTTGTAGATGGGATGGACGATCGAGTGTTTCCACTGATCGGGGAAATCAGAGTTGGAGAGGCATGTGTTAATGATGTGGAGAAGGATGTCACCGATCGCATCAAAACTGGCCTTGATAGCACGAATACACAGTCCGTCATCACCGCGAGCCGACGTGTTGCGCATGCTAAAAATAGTGCGCCGCAGTGTATGCAGTGACACCGGTCGAACCGTAAAAGCACACGCACCTACCCGTGGGAGCCTGCAGTCAATGTGTGGCACAGGGCCCTGATCAGCTACCTCCTTAGCCACGCGCGGTCCTACCTGTACAAAGTACTCATTCATACAGTCGGCGGACACGGAGGGCAGCGTGCGCTCGCCGGACGCTTTCCCTGCTATGACGTCTCGCGTGTTGCGCCACATAGACGAGGGCCCCTGTTCCTTTATACGTCGGCACACGTCAGCTCGGGTGTCCCGTCGAATGGCCGATCTGACAGCGCGGTTCAGGTGGCGGTACTCGGACGATCCGTGACCCCACACTCTCAGTGCGCCGCGGCGGCGGGCCATTAGGTCACGGGTCTCACGGGACACCGGCGGAGCGGTCGGGTTCCTGATTGTCACAGTTTTTAGTGGTGCGTGCCGGTCAATAACAGGTGAAAACACGTGCAAAAACAGTTTCCATTTGTCAGTAGCGGAAGAAGCCCCAAAAATCGGCGACCAATCGACCTGCCTAAGATCAGCGTAAAAGGATGAAAGATCAATGCTATTAACTGAGCGCCTTTGGACTTTGAATGGCTTAATGCGGGGTCTGCTGGTTCTAATGAAAGTGCGTATGAACATATGAGGACTAAAATGACAAAAGCGAACACCGCTGCGGATAAAAAAATCAGGTCGTTTAGCAATACAAACGTCTAAGAGTGAGCCAGTCCTGTAAGTATGAGATCGAATGGATTGATGAAGGCCGAAATCTGATAGGAACTGTGAGAGACGGCGGCAGCCTACGTCGGAATCAGGCTTGAGAAGGTCACAGTTCAGGTCACCGCAAATCAGCACGTCAGTGTTTGGGTGGTCAACAAGCACGCGTTGGTATTGCGTTTCTAGGTCGGTAAAGTCTGATGAGACGGCGGCCACAGAACGGTTTGGCGGTCGGTATGCTGAAGCCACTATCAGCTGCCGACCTTTGTCCAGTTTCAGGAGCACCCAGAGAGTCTCCAGAGCGCTGTCCGGGCGCCGCTGCTTCGGCACTTTCAGTCTTGTGGCGTCGATTCCGCACTTGATGGCGAGTGCTACTCCACCGTAGCCACGGCCGTCTGGTCGGTCCGAGCGGTAGAGCTGGTAGCCGGGCAGCACCAGAAGACGACTGGGAGTGGATGGTTTGAGCCAGGTTTCCTGAAGTGCCATGACGTCATAGCTGAACCGGTGCAGCTCCTGGGACAGCTCCAACAGTTTCGGCTTCACTGATTGGATGTTGAGGGAGCCGACTAGCAGCCCAGCGTGGTCGGCAGCCCTCCAGCCACTACCCCTCGATCCACGCGGCTGCTGCCTCCGCCCTCTCTGTCCTCGCCGCCTCCGCTCTCGCGCCGAGCGCGGGCTGGGCGCACCTGGGGGAGACGATGTCGCAGCTCCGCCCCCGCCCGCCGCCCGCTGGGGAGGGGCGACCCGGTCGACCCGATCGGCGCTCCGCTGTAAGGCAGGCTCGTCACGGGCCTCCTCGGAGTCGGCTGTTCCTCGGTCCCACGGACCCCGACCAGTGACAGGGCCGCCAGCACCGCCCCCGGCGCCGCCAGCCGTCACCACAGCACATCCCAACGAGACCACGCCATGTCGCACAAACCCCGCACAGCGGCCAGACGCACCAGTGACTCTCAAACTGGGTCGGCCCGCGGCGCGATGGACTGGGAGAACCTCCGACGGAGGGGTCGCCGGTACACGTGTCCTCCAAGTAGCCCGGGGCCGGACAGGCCGGCTGCTCCCGGCGTCCCGCAGCAGTCTGAGCTCATGCGGTGCAGCAACGCTGAGTATTGCAACCTGAGTACAGCAACCCCCACAGAACTGACCATCGCGATGTGATCGGGCCATATGGGCAGGTTCGGGAGAGCAGAGGCGACTTAGAGACAGTCAGGTGACTTACAGAGGAAAATGCAGCCGGGGTGTGAAGTGATGTGTGGATAATACCACACGGTATTATGACGGCTGAGTATGACGGAGCTGCAGATCTAATCTGAGCTGTGACAGACCTCTGCCAGCTGTCCACCGCCTGGAGAGCTCGTGTTTCTAACGATAGTGCTGGCCGCCAGCAGTCGGTTCCCCATTGTGGTCGTGGCTTACGGTATGGCACTGCAAGCATGTGGTATAAGACGGCAACAAAGCCTCAGAATGAGACACATTGCGATGTCCTGATGACAACGTCTCTTAGCTACCGTAAATGACACTGGTTCTGTGTGACAAAACAACTCAAAATGCTCTAGAAACTGAAGGACATTGCCACAGATGACGCAAACAAGCCACACACGAGGGTATAACGTGCAATGGATTCTTTTAATACCTCATAGGATCAATGGAAAGTAAACAGCCTGCAGCTCCCGACGATGCATGAGCGGTCGGCTCTTCCGTATTCGGCGAGCGTTTTGTTTACTGCAGTGACCGTGCAGAGTTGTCCGTCCGCATACCACAGAACTGACCATCGCGATGTGATCGGGCCATATGGGCAGGTTCGGGAGAGCAGAGGCGACTTAGAGACAGTCAGGTGACTTACAGAGGAAAATGCAGCCGGGGTGTGAAGTGATGTGTGGATAATACCCAGGGACGAGACTGGCGGTTTTGTGGTAGAATGAGAATTATCATTGTGGTTGAATTATAATACCGGAGCTGACACTGCCATACGACTTAGCAACAGTGTCATCCTGGCCTCGTCCTGCCTGAAGAGGCGCGCGGCATAAAACACCATTCATCACCCCGAGTGAATGGGTGAGAAGTCGAGTGAGAACATCGTGACGCCCAATCTATCACGACGATCGCCGGCACCCCTGTCACGACAGCCGCGACATCGCTGTCACGACATCCTCTGACAACGCTGTCACGACGGACGCTGTCATCGCTGAATGAAGCAAGAGGTCGCGAGGGAGCCGGGAAGTTTTAAACGACTTCATCTGAGGCCCTGTGACACGCCATTTTGACACGCCAGCTTGACACGCCACGCCAGCTTGTCCATGGCTTGGCCTCCAGTGCTTCAGCCCCGCGGTCAGTGCAGAGTGCCGGGGACAAACCGACGCTGCTGTATATGGTGCTGTGACGTTTGGAGGCAGGTAATCGGACCGATCCAGCGCGCCCAGATGGGGAGCGTTCAGCCATTTATGGACGCGAATCAGGGAGTGTCACAAAGAGCCACCCAGTACGGTGGGGATGGGGGAGAATGAATTCACTCAAGGTCTTCGCCGTCCCCCTAAAGCACCCGCCAGAGCGACCAATAAGGCACTATGTAGTAGATACGATCCAGCACACACCTGTTCACTCAACGGGACAATATAGAGCCGGTGAGGGTTCAAATTACCTGTCATGCCGTTGGTCCGTAATTTGACTTATCCGTCACGCCGTTACACTGTCATTTGACTCACCTGTCACGCCGTTGGTCCGTCGTTGGACTCACCTCTCACACGATTAGACCGTCGTTACCTCACCTATCACGCCGTTTATCCGTTGTCTGAACTCATCTGTCACGCCATTATACAGTCATTTGACACACCTGCCACGCCGTTGGTCCGCCGTTTGACGTTTGACTCACCTGTCGGCTGTCACGCCGTTGGTCCGCCGTTTGACTCACCTGCCACGCCGTTGGTCCGCCGTTTGACTCACCTGTCACGCCGTTGGTCCGCCGTTTGACTCACCTGTCACGCCGTTGGTCCGTCATTTGACTCACCTGTCACGCCGTTGGTCCGCCGTTTGACTCACCTGTCACGCCGTTGGTTTGCCCGTACGGCTGGCAGTAGGGCAGGTCGGACTCATCCAGCAGCCGCCCGTCGGCATCCAGAGCGCTGTCGGCGGCATTGGTGCAGTAGATCTTCCGTGTGCCGTCCTCGCCGGGAGTCACGTAGTCTTTCGAGTCAACCACGTCACTGTAGTCGTCGTCTACTTGCACCACCTGCGCGGACGGAGAGGGAGTGACTATGACTCTGACTCCGGTGCAAATATGAAGAACGCGATGGAGGCCGTGTTGTGCACAGGGGGTATCATATCGAATTAAACAGGGAGAGTACTATTGTCAGAGATAAACAATTTTTATGCGGTTGAACAAGAAACATTAGAGACGTGACAGATTGAATTTACCAGCGAGTGAAACGCCGATCTAAAAACAGCATGCAATTCTGCAGTGCTTTTTGCAGTGCAGACAGAAACAATAACTACTGCCCTTATTGGATTTGAACTGCCTCAACTATGCACTTTGAAGAGCGAGCTGTACCATTCCGGTCACGTGCACCAGGCAAGTTCCTCGGAAAGACGATCTGCGTTTATCTGCACCCTCTGGTAGTAAACACGGCTGGATCTCTCCGGACTGCCGGGTAGCCGCCTGAGGCGCGTATTTTCAGCCCTCCCGAGAACGGTGCTGGCAGGGCAGGTTTATAGACTGCCGTCCGGCCGGAACGCGTAGGTTCTATAACGAACCTCGCGGGCGCCGGCACTAAGTAATGAAGCCGGCCACGAACCGGCCGCCAGCGAGACTGCACCAGTTTGTTGCTGCGTGTGCCAGTCGGGCGGATCGGGAGAGGCAGCCGACCGTGTGCGCCGGAGACGCAGAAAACACCGCGGTTATTAGGGGAAAATGTCTTATAAAGAGAGCTGTGCCATTCTATTCTGAAATAGCTGATAGGGACACGATGGTTTATTTTAAAGTTAAACGTTAAAAAATGCAGCGTAAATGAATCGAGCAGCCGTTTTAATTTTGCAGTGTGACATTATTGATATATCATTTCGCAACTCCGCACGCCGAATATGAAAATACTAAATTGTACATTAATCATATGCTTTTGTTGCATGTTACGTGTCTGTAAGTATGTTGATTGCCCTTAGCTAATCAACATATGCTTTTTTCCTCACGCATCAACTGTCAGGAGCACTAACATTTGACTTACCTTGGCGGCGTCCGAGCGGGAGACCTGTCGGAACTTGGCGCGGTTGACGAGGTCGACCGGCGCCGCGTAGTCCTCGAGCAGCTGTCGAGAGACAGAAAGAACACGTCACTGATGGTCATCGAGGAGCTGGGTGAAGGAGCTTCTCAGACCGACTGGCGCAGAGGGGAGGAGAGGATAGAGGAAAGGAGAGGAGAGGAGAGGAGAGAAGAGAAGAGAAGAGGAGAGGAATAAAGAGAAGAAGAGAGCAGAGGAGAGAGGAAAGGGTATGAATATAAGAAGAGAAGAGCAGAGAAGCAGAATACAGCTGAGGAGACAAACACGAGAGTTGTCGCTAGTGAATAAAAATCAGCAACGAAAAATCAAAGGCAATGCAATATATGTGCATGAGTGGCATTTCATCAAGACGCATCAAGTACCAATCATCAGCCAGAGCATGAGACTTTTTACAAAGCCCTTGAACAAAGACGTCAAACGTTTGTATCACCCACTCAAGGATGGGAGAGCATGAGGCAACGTTAGCAGAGCCGAGGTAATGAAAATTAAGTACCGCTTTTCTGTGAGCCAGGGAAGCCGCAACGACAGCCACCGGCGGGAGGCGACCCAGCCAGCCATTTTATCATCGCGGGAACTTTGGTTATTCCCACGCGCAGACGGTGCCACATTCCCGCAGACACAAAGATGCCAACCACGAGCCATGAAAGATTTCCATCAAATTCGTACCGGCATTAAGCTATTTTTCAGAGACGCTTACTAAAATCCATCAACAGGTAAAATGCTCATAAAGCTCGAGTTGTGGTCGTAAGTTCACCTGTGCCCTGCCTCCTTCCACAGAACGGTGAGAGCGCATCCACCTGGTGCACTAGATCTCACTGGGTCCAATGACTCATGCTGCACCGATCGCCCCCTCCTCACCCCTCCCCAGCACGGACAGGACCGTCCAATCCCATTACCGTCGGCAAATGAATACGCCACGGGCCCAGTCACGCAACCGGCTCTCCCGTCAGGGGAGAAGGTGCCCGGCCGAGACGGGCTCCCGCATCGCGACGGCGTGGAAAACGGGCACACCGAGCGCATACATTGGTATGAGTGACAAAACGGTACCAAACAGCGTGCGATTTGTTGATTATTATTGGGAAAGTTCTGCGACATAATTATCACAACTCAAGTTGCAATGTCATGTGATTCAGTCTCGCACTTGTTTATGTACCTATAGCTGACTGAGCTGCCTGCATGCCCACTGCCCAGCCCGGACCATGCCGACACAAACTGTATTTGCGTCACTGTCAATACCTGAGTTGCCGTCGACGCAGTAACGATACCGATCCCTCGTCGCGACTGCGCACCTCCCCTCCCCGGAGTCGATGTCACCTCCCGCTGACGTATAACATACGCAACACGAGACGACGGGACCAGGTCTCGCGGTATTACCCTCGGGAGAGACGAGTGAAGCCGACCCGAGTCCTATTATCCGACGGCGAACAGCCGCCTAAGGTAGCTCTAGCACCTGTATTGAATTAGGATGCGTCCCAGGAGGTCGGGGTAGAAGCTCAAATTGGACGGACACTGAGGCTGGTCCGAACAGAACAGCGGCGCCGGCAGTACGAAAAGACAAAGGTGTGAGGCATTTGTGGAACAGGAAAGAGAAAATGTGAGTCTTATCATTTGATTTAAAAAATGGGGCTCCCATCAGAGAATAAACTAAAAAATATCTTAGTAAACGTTTAGTACCTAGCCACAGCAGAGGCGGAGCCTCCTATTCAGTTGGTGGGGCGGCTGCCCCACAAACTTGCCATTCTGCCCCACCAATAAGCGTTTTGCCCTACCAACTTTAGCTGTTTTCTAGGAGTCTATTGTTTTGCAAATCAAACTTTTTCGCATTGAGGAGCTTTGGAATGTCTGTTAATGCAAAATAGTATATCCGTAATGTTAGGAATTGATGCAGTTTGGCACTTTATTCAATTTGACAATCGGAGATTGTAGGTTCGACGACTTTCTGCCCCACCAACTTCCTAGAAAAGCTCCACCCCACGGTCATAGATACTAGCTCCACCCATGAGCCACAAAGCACATTCTTCAAAGCTTACGGTCATAATGTTGATAAGTATTGGTAAAACAATGTTGAAAGACATCACGCATGTGTAATGAATAATGAACTATTGAAAAATTAGCAAGAGTCAATACTTGAGCGTAGCTTTAGAAGTTGGGAGCCAGTTATACCGCTAAGCTTTGTACGTTTCCTACACCGCTACACAAAAGGGCATTCAAAATTCAGAAGAAAGGCCAAGACAGAGTTATTCACATGAAATCTGTAAACGCATGCTATTGTTCAGGTACACCATGACAAACAACACCTACGAGTTCTGCCTGTCAGCTAGGACCGTTAGCTCGGCTCGATGCACTGACATCCATACAAAACGAGTCCGTTATTGAATACGGACATGAGTCATTACGGATATAGAGGACATCTGGTAAGGCCGGGCCCCTGTTATATACGGTGCATCGCCAAAAACTGCGCTATATGAGTTTCCAGTCGCCGATGCCGACTTTGCAACCGCAGAATCATCGTGCGAATTGGCACGGCACGAGACCATCATTTGCGAGTACAGTGCGGTTGCATGCAGAAATAAACTTTTTCAGTTCATTGTTTGATTGCGTGCATTCACGACAAGCGTAAGCTTGACATGTTATTTGTTTAAAAATGCTGTGTTTTAGGCTTCATTAGCAGCGTAATTAGCCAAATTTTAAGACCAAAATGCAAACAACTATCAAATAAGGTACGTTGTCCTTTTTATAAAAGAACTGTCCAACGTCTATAGTCATCACAAACCGCAAAAGCTGGTTTGGTGGTAAGAGAGGAAGGCTCAGTCTGCATCACATGGGGGTTATTAATCCAGCTACTTCGTAAAACATATGGGCGTAAAACATCTGAACGTTTATAAAATGCCTAATTGAACCACAACCACCTTGCGAAATACAATACCTATACAATTTCTCTAACAAATACGATGTCACGAAAACTATGAAGGCAGCAGACCTAAAGACAAAGTCGGATGTTCCTTGCCGATAGAACGACAGTAAGTTTATCTTACCAATTCCGGTACTTATTTCCCCTGTCTCTCTCGCCTCACCTACCTAGCGCGGGACCACAAAAGGCCCACTTCGGGCAGGCTCCCGGAGCGGGGGTCACGTGCCCCGGGGCGCCGCCGGCAGCGGAGGTCACGTGTCGGGGGCGCCGCCGGCAGCAGAGGTCACGGAGTCGCGGGGTCAGGCCGGAACCTGTGTGCCGGCCGCCGGGACCACACGAGACTGCGTGGAGACAGCGCGGCGGCGACGGCGGCGGCGGCGGCGGGCGCGCGCACCCAGCTCACCCCCTGATCAATAGCGCAGCAGCAGCGCGCCGCCGGCGGCCGGGCGGCACAGAGCGGCGCGGAAGCCGCGTGACCGAGCGGCCAGGAAGCGCCCGCGGCGCACCAAAGACGGCACAGGATGCGCGCATAGAGCCGACACCGGCAGAAGGGTGGCGAGGTGATGACACTCAGCCCGGGAAAGGATACGGAACAACAGCTGTGAGAAATAAGGAACAGAATAAGAGAAAGATGTAACAGCTGAAGTTAAATCCTACGACATCTGGCGCCGTCATAGAACTAAATTAACGCCTTTGAACAATTCTGTGAGCTTTACTGGCATGTCCAGTGACCCGATGACCTTTCCCAGCCGTTCATGATAAATGGTGGAAAGAGGCGAGGCCGGCAGAAAGTCAGCTGCTCGGCAGTTCAGCGCAGTGATAGCTGCTGTAGAATAATGACGTCTGGCATGCAAAGGGCAGAGCAGGTAACGGTTCTCACTGATACGACAGGATTTATGCTCAAACAGCCTGATTTCGGTCATTGCATGATGAGTGACTCATACTCTTTCGTCAAGTCAACTTCAGTTTTAATTGTTTGGTATATGGAAGAAAGTGATCTAAAATGGACACGGTACAGTACCTAATATATTTTTATAATGGGAAAGAAATGTATTATTGTGCTTTAGTGGGGAAGTGACTAGTGAGTAGCGAGAATCATTTTTGTTTTCTTTCTCCCAATGCAACGCAGCATTTTCTCACTCCGATTCCTAACAGGATCATTATGTATCATCTTTTGGCATCGGCCTATATTTTTCCCTCCCAGAACATGTCCTAATCTCTTCATCTGGGATAGTAGACAATAACGATCAATATCCTTTACAAAGTGGGTGTCGTTTACGCCTACGAACTTTCCACCATAACCAATGATGGAGTGAGCGAATTAGGACCGCTCCCGTGCGAGGCTGTCATGAGGGAGCAGGAGCACCTCATAATAACCAGCTCAGCGTATTAAAGACGCGGCACAGACCGGAGAGAAAAATCGCACGGCTCAGTGAGAAACCTAAAATCCACCAGTAGGTACATGTAGTATGTACAATCTTCATAACAAGCAGGGAACATGGGAACATGGAGTCGAAAATGGCGTCGGTCACTGATCTGCCACCAGCCAAAGACGGCACGGCGAGCCTCGGCCGAAAACACTTCACGGGCAGGGAGACTGGCCTCTGTACATACGCCGAGGGCCCTTCTGAGTCGCCGAGGGAACAGACACTCCCGTCGACGTCCAACGCTATCGGCCGAGCAGACCCCGGCTCTCAGTCTCGACCATCTTAGGGAAAGGCAGGCCATCCAGCCCACCACATCAACAGACGAGATATCCTTTCAGCAATCTCTTCAGTGCGCCCGCCGGCGCTCAGGATTCTGCCCGGCCGCGGGGGTGGCTGGGCCGCGGTTTATCGGTCTATCTCCCTATGACCGGACGGCGCCGCGTCCCGGTCTGCAGAGGGCGAGCCATGCGCTCCAGTGCGGCTCTCCCGCCGAGACTACTCGTGGTGCTGGTGTCGTCAGCCGCTGCCAAAGGACGCGCTCCGTCACTCCAGAACCGCGCTGCACGGCTGACATGACTGCACAGTTGCGGTCAGTGGCTAGCCACGCATTCCGTCCCCACCCCGGCCCCCACGCACGCCCACGCGTCGAGCGGCGATCAGTTATCAGTCACGGTGGCTGCAGTTCGGCC